ATAAACTAAATATAATAAAATAAGTATATTTGATGTTTACTATATTAATTTTTTAATTATTTATATTAAAAAGGACAAGACTTCGAAATAAAATAGTTGATAAGTTTTTTACAAATAATTTAATTATTTATATTAAAAAAATTATCATCATTGAACAAAACTTTCCTATGACACTAGTATAAGTTTTTTTTATTTACATGTTATATAAAACTATTATCTATTATAAATTTTTTAATTATTAATAATTAAGTGTAATATATTAATTTAAAAAAATTATTTTTATTTTTTAAAATTTTTGACTTTCTTAATAAAAATTGATTAACTCTGCTATGGTAAAAAAACCATTTGATTTGTAGAAATACACCAAGGGAACATGATGCTTAATTATCCTTGCCAGGTCCAGACTTGACATCCAAAGTTGCGTTTTTGGTCGGTCTAGTGCTGGTTGCACCATCGTTTGTCTCTTCACATTAGCCTCCATATTCTCTCACCACCTGCAGGCTACAGTTAATGGTCACAAAAACCTTTATAAATTGCATTCAACACTGAGCTCTCTCTCTCTACGGGCAAACTCAAAAGTCAAGAAAATAAAGAAGTGCAATGCAAAAGTAGGGGAAGGCAAGTTTGCATACCCTGTAACAATGGGGGCAAAGGTTTTCCAAAATCTCTTTAGTAGAGGGGTTTTGCACTGGTGGGTGATGAATTTGGTGTTTTCTTGTCCCTTTTTTGAGACCAAAAATTAAGTATATTACACAGCAAACAGGAACATGGTGATGGATTAAAGTGTGGTAATCTGAGAGTCGTGGTTTGGTAGGTCGTGTGGGGATATCAATCATGAAGCACACGACTCATAAAGGTGTGTTGAATGGTACGAATAATTGCTTGCTTTCGTCCTGTGATGGAATGTTGAAAACGACCAAAAATGTACTGCTAGATGAAAAAGTTGACTGGGTTTTCCCCCATGGCCAATGAAACGCACAAGACAAAAAGAGAGAACACGGAGTAGGTGGAACTTGCATGATGTGATTGAGTCACAACAGCCAAATTGCCCTTCTTGACCAAATCCTTTTTTTGTCATTTTCAATCCCCACTAACAGAGATTTGCAAATTAATTTACCCTGTAAACCTGTTTAATTTCTTTCAACCAAACCAAAAAGAAAATAGCTTTTCCTCATGAGCTAGAGCAAGTTTCAAAAAAAATTTCTTATTTTTTTAAAATTTTAAAAACAAAAATGAAGAGTTTTAAATTCAAAAAAATGTATATGATATTAATTTTGTAAAAATCATGACTATTAAAAGAGCATTATACTGTTCATTAAATTTATAAAACAATCACAATTAAATTTATGAGTTGTAAGTGATTCGATAAATGTGGTAACTTGATTGAATAAACCTTCAAAATTATCATAAAAGTTTAGATCGAGCATGATACAGATTGATTGTTTTCAATTAATCACTGAAAGGTAACTCATATCGTGAGAGAAGCTGACTTTCTTACTAAAGATGGAGTTGATAGGCAAAAGGAACTAGTTCAATTCTTTGGTTTTAACTAGGAATGATAGACAAATTTCTTTGTCTTCCTCTTATTTCGTTTTCATGTGACTTTAAGCTCAAAGTTACTTTAGCTTTGACACATTGCAATAAGAATTACAGACCTTTTAAAAAAGAAAACACAAATTATGTTAGACAAAATAAACATTCTTTTTGTTAAAATTAACTATTTACAAATGTTTCTGTTCTTTATAATTATCTAATTACAATGTTAACATTAAATGTTATTTTATTTTTTATCTTTATATTATAGTATAATATTCAAATATTTGATAGTAATGAGTTTAGCCTAATTAAAGTATTTAAATATAATATTAATATTGAAAATATATATTCTTATAATTTAATCTAAAAGAATGAGAGCAAAGATAAAATTACATAGCATTTAATATAAAATAGATAAAACTCTAAATTACATGTATTATTTGTCTGTTAATTTTTTTTTTCTCGTGACTTAAAAAATGGGTATTTGATATGATAGTGTGTAAGATTAATTCGAAATTTTATGTGCATTGTGAATACAAATAAATTATTAAATCCAACAATTGATTAATTAATTTTATATCTATATAACTTCATCCATCCTGCACTTCTTGACCAAATCTTCTTGAAAGGAAAGCCTCTGCTTTCCAAAGGTACATATATAATGATAGGGAGAACAAACTAATAGCGAGAATTTATTTTCTCAAATGGCAATAAGAAATCATAAAGAGACTTCTCAAAGTGTTTCATGTGGGATGTCTCCAAGCAAACCACCAATGACAAGCTCCCATCATCTACAGAGTTTGGTATGATATATATTTGTCCTTCGTTGATGACATTTGCCAATCCCACGTGCATGGGGCGACCCCATCCGAAATCTGCAGCATATACCGGAAGTCGCATCCAGCCATTGATGTTGAGGTTTGGGGACTGAAAAGTACGTGCTCCTCGCACAAGAGTCTCCATATCAGGTACACTTTCTAGGAATTCAAGAGCTGATCTCATATACTTGTCGTCCATCCGTTTTACCGTTCTGTTGATTCTTTGTATTGTATCCGCAAATGGTTCGGATTGGAGAACACCTGACAGAGCAGTTGTTGCAGCTATGAAGATAACATTGCCAAGGTAGCCTGGTGGAATAGGTGGATGTAATTTGGACCGTCCATCGACTGGAATGTATAACTTGGTCACTTGATCATCCGCAAGGCCCCTCGCTTTGCACACACAACGCCATATATGTGCAGTCAGGACGTCGTATGTGCTACGATTTGCTTTTGTTGTGTTGCCATTCATGGTTGCCTTGGATTTTAAGGTTTTCAGCTGATCAGCAGTGATTTTGAAAATAGATGTAGATGAAGGTTTGGGACCAGCTTGAGAATTTGGAGTTGAAATAGATGTGTTCAAGGGAGGAGATGGATCGTATTCAACATGGTGAAATGCAGGAGCTGGTGGCACCCGAGCTCGGAGAAGGGTGCGATCAATGAATGGGGTAACATTAATGGGTAGGCCTCGGGTTGTGTTAGACCAACTTTTCATGAAATAAATGACTGATGGCGCATCCACCAAAGTATGTTGAAATGCAGCACCAAGACAAACCCCTCCATGTTTGAAGCTTGTCACCTAGCAAAATATACACATGAGATTTCTTATTGTTTATCTTGAATAGTGTTGCAACGATAAAATTTGCAGACTCTAATTGAAAAAGAAAGGACGACCATAAAAGATATTGAAACTACAAATACTCTCTCACTAAGTGAAGATTTGTACCTGTAACAGAACGAGTGGAAAAGAACAGATATCTCCCGAATAGTCGACTGTTGGAACCAGCTGCCCAAGTTTCGAGCTCGGTGCAAAATCGCCCAAGTCATCTATGGTAGTAGCGGTTTCCGCCTCTATGAATAATACTCCCTCCGCGTTGCAGACTATCTCGAGTCTTCCATTTTCATCATATCCCAATCTCCCAGCCATGGGATAGAACGGGACGAGAATGTTACTCAAAGACTCCTTAAGCAATTGGGTGTCAAAGAAATTGGAAGAAGCATCCGATTTGTAGAAACACACCGAGGCAACATGATACCTTGATATCACCAAGTCCAGATTCGAGTTCCACAGACGTCGATTTGGCATGTCTCGAGCTGGGCGTACCATGGTTGATCCATTAATGGTAATCTTCATTTCCTCACGATACCTGCAATGATAAATAAGTTCACTCTTAATACTAACTCGTAGAAGGGCTACCTTTGAAGTTGTATTTAACAGGAAACCCAAAGCTCAAAATCTTGAAAAGTCTCTCCTTGTTGAAAACCACCAGGAAAGGGAAGCAGAGGTGTTAGTTAAGGTGGTATGGTGAAATTTGGTCGTTTGATGGCTTTATTTTTGACCCAAAGCTGAGGAAATAAGCACAAGACAGCATATGAAATGAAAAGATATATATATAAATATTGAATGAGGCCACAAGCTCAGGGAAAGGAAGCCAAATTAAAAAAGGAGAGGGATTTTATTCCGAGACGGAGGCAGAAAAGGAGAACTGGGAGAGAGAAAAGGGAGAAAACAAGAGAGAGAAACCGAGAAAATGGAGATTATGTGGGGGGAAGGTAGAAGGGAAACTGATGAGAAATAGGGAGACCAAACTCTAGATATTCAAGAAAAAAAGGAGGAAAACTAAAAGGGGAAAGAACAAGAAAAGGAATGAGGCAGTGGTGAATGAGTTCCTAACCAGTGGGGATTTCGAAAATAGAAATGAAGCAATTAGGAATGAGGCGGAAATTACTTGGTCAATCGGCAAACAAGTAGGCTTCATATGTGGAGAAGAGGATCAGCTGCTAAAGGAGATTGCTAAGGAGGCAGCAGCTAGAGCCAAGGTTAAAAAAAGTTAGTATTGGAACTTAATTGCGGAGATCCATAGGTTGGAAGAGATTATCCAGGGAGCTTGCACCAAACAGGGTTTTAGAGAAGCAAGTAGCTTTGCTGATGCTCTTTGAAAGATGGGGGTGAAAAAGAAGTTCACTACAAGGACATAAACAGAAGACATTAAGTAAGGGTTGTTTCTTCACATACCTTTCAAAAGCTTTTTCGGACAATGTGGATTTGGCATACCCATGGACATTCAAAAACTCATGTTCTAGCAATTGTTTAATGATACACGACCAGATATCCCAGGCATACTAAAGTAAAACATTTAGAAAAAGTTCATTTATTTATTTATTTATTTGAAAGGCAGAACTATACATCTTGCATAAAGGTCTCCCAAAGTAGACTTACAAAAGACAAGCCATAATAGGCATGCATGTCATGCAGATGCACAGCATGCTACAAAAGGGGAGAGGTACAAAGCATAACAGCATTGTTAATCATCAGCAATCCTACAGGGCATACGATATGCAGAAACCAGAAACCGAAGGCTTTTGGTTATACAACATGCAGAAACCAGAAACATCCATGCACACTGGTACAGGGCATAACGGTGGCGCAGATTAAGAACCCCTAAAGAAATAGCACAAGAAAGAAACCAAAACCACATCCACCTAAAACAAGAAACAGCACAAGTTTATGCTGTCAAAGGACAATACCAAAAATTAAGAAAAATAATTGGTTGGTATATAGTCCTCCAACATTTCTGATAAAATCAGCAGAGGAATAAGAGAGAAAGATCGAGGAAAGTCAGTGTGAGGGAAATGATTTTCTTCATTACTGAATCAATTATTACAAGGGTAACCAGCTGATGTAAACAAACTAACAACTAACTTTAACTTATTACAATGGTAAAAGTAACTAATACCTATAAAACAGTAAAAACTAAAATCTATATTTTAAAACTATAACAAAATTACACGTGTCCTTCCCTTCCTTGACCGAGAGTAAGTCTTCTGCTCCTCCTTCTCTAAACACAGTCCATCTGGAAATCAACTTTAAATCAACACCGAGAGTGTCAATAATTTCCTTGTCTTCTTATTGAAGAAACGCTACTCTTCTTTTCCACAACTATCCACGTCTAGCTCAATACAAGGTCGAAATCCTGCATTTAGGCCACAAGAGTGCTGGCACCCTTCGACATTTTGTTAGAATTCATACAGAAGTTTTTCGAAGAGTTCAATGTGAGAGGCTTCCAAGCGTGTCGCCAGAAACAGGCTCCCATCACCCGTTGGACTTGGTAGTATGCAAAATTTTCCTTCTTGGATGATCTTGGCTGGCCTCATGTATGTGGGACGACCCCAAGAGGCAACCACATCCAACTAACAATATCAATGTTTGGACATGGAAAAGAATGTGTTTTGACATAAGGCACCTTTTCTATGTAATCAAGTACTGATCTCACGTATTCATCATCGACCTGTATTACTGATTCATGGATTCTCTTTACAGTGTCTATTAATGGTTCTGATTGGAGATCACCAGCTAGAACAATCCGTGTAGCAATTAATATTGTATTGCCGAAATAGCCTGGTGGGAGAGGAGGATGCAATCTTGATCGTCCGTCAACTGGTATCAATAGCTTGGTTACTTGAACATCTGAAAGTCCTCTTGCTTTACTTGCACAACGCCATAAATGTGCAGTTAGGATTTTGTAAGTACTATATTTTGTGGAGTCTCCATTTTCACTTGGTTTGGCTTTCAGGGTGTTTAGCTGATCAACCGTGAGTTTAAATATAGATACGGCTGATGGCTTAAGGTGTGATGATATTCTGAAGTGGAAGCTGAGTTGTTCAAAGATGGAGGATGGTCGTACTCAACATGGTGAAATGTAGGAGTTGGGGGCACCCGAGCCTGCAGAAGAGTTCGATCATTGTGTGGCGTAATGCTAGGAGTCAAGCCTCGTGCTGTGTCAGCCCAACTATTGATGAAATGAAAGAGCAGATAAACCATCCCCTAAAGTATGTTGAAATCCAACTCCAAGACAGACTCCTCCGCATTTGAATTTAGTTACCTAGTAAAATTAATGTTACATCAATGCCATACTAAATCACATACATGCTGCTGGTGCATGCAGCCAACATGTGGCATTCCATAGTTGTCTCACTAACAGTAAATAACTTTGACACAATTTAAACATTTTTTTTTTTGCAAAGCAGAATTCATTCATAAAGAAACAAAGCTACAGCCAAAAGGAAGAGAATAGCCTCCAGGAAAAGCTGCACAAACACAAAAATCAGATCTGCAGGGACAAAACCAACCCCTGCCTTCCCCAGAAAAGCAGCATATATATCCCCCATCAAACAAAAAGAGGTTAGCAAACCTCAACCAAACAGACAGAGGTGATCTTGTCAAGCACAAAACCAAAAACACCTACACAACCAAATATTCATACTCAGAATCAGCAAACGAAAAGAATCTCCCTTGTACACCTGGAAATATAGATAGGGGTGACAAAATCAAATTTAGTCTTATAGGATTAAGTAATTTGTACACTCAAAAAAGCTATAGGTAATAGAATAAGGATTAGAGTAATTCAACAAAACTTGGAAACCAAGATTTTGTTTCATGATTGCTCTTACCTGCAACAAGAGAAGTGGATAAGACGACATTCCTCCTGAATAATCGACTATAGGAACTAGCTGCGAAATCTCTGAAGAATCGCTGAAATCTTGAATCAAGTCATCCATAACAGAAGCAGTTTCAGCCTCTATGAATAATACTCCCTCTGCATTGCGTATGATAATACTCCCTCTTCACTGCATATAATTTCAAGCCTCCCATTTTCGTCGCATCCCAACCACCCAGCTACGGGATAGAAGGGCACAAGAATCTTGCTTAAAGCCTGTCTAAGCAGTTGCGACTGAAAGAAATTAGAAGAACCATTTGGCTTGTAGAAGTATACAGTACGAATATGGATTCTTATATTCACCAGGTCCAAGTTAGATATCCATAGGCTTCGTTTTGGAGTGTCTTGAGCACGTCGTACCATGGTTGACCCTTTTATCATAATCTCCATCTTTACACCTATAAGGAATCAAATTAGATAAACTTCAGTGAATCTCTATAAATTCAAAACAGGACAGGGACGTCAAGCAGAAGATTACTATCCTTACCTTGTAATATGGTAGAGGGCAACAGTGTTCACGGTGCAGTTAGTTAAGGTTATCCGGATGGGTGGTGAACACACGAGCACCTTCATAAAACATAAATAAATTACAATTACGATAAGAACAAGATTATTAAATTAATAAAGCAGTGCAATGCAGTACTCGGGGCATGATTAAATAAAGTTAAATGATTTAATTTGTTAAATTTCAAATAAAAAAGCAAAGACAGAAGACAATGGTGTAGCCCAAGTTGGAATTTATATATTCCCTCAACAAACCCAAGTCCACGAACACTTCATCCAACTCTTTCGCTTAGCCCATTTGCACCAAGTAAGGGATTGGTTTTTTCATATACCCTTCAAATGCCATACAATGTGGATTAGCCATGAGCCATCCCATGGCCATAGCGATTTGGTTAGTGTTATAGGTAATGAAAAATGTGAGATTTGTTCAATCAATAATGTTCATGTTAGAGATTTATGGTACCCTTTTCGTGTTTTTAATTTTCAAAGAGAAAAATATCTTCAAATTTAATCATAAATATTACTTAGTACGTAATGATCATTAAAATTTTTTAAAATATGTTTTATTTGTTCATTAAAGTTTGTACACTCCGAGAGCCACCCATATAAAATCTAGAGCAATTCTTAACTAACACTCGAAACAATACAAAACTTGGGAATCGAGATCTTGTTTGATGGATGCAGGAGGAGAAGTGGAGAAGAAAATATTCTTCCCTGAACAATCTTCAACTTTAAGAACTAGTTGTGAAACCACCTAATCCACATAACAGAAGTAGTTTCAGCTTCTATGAATTATACGTATATAATATATGAATACGTATACATAACTACTAACAAGAAAAAGACCAAGACTTGTTAAATCATTCATCAGAGTTTTCTTTCGTCTCAACTCCATTTTTTACCTCAATCGTATCTGGAGGCCAAAGCTTGTCAAAGGGTCTTTAGGTTTTTTTCTGAAAGGTTTCTGTCCGCAATTATTATGGGTGTGACATACCTTGGATCATGACAGATGAACATAACCAATGTGAAACACACGAAACCTACATACCCACGCCTTGTCATCTATTATACTACTAAATCAAAACCATCGTCACAATATCTCGCCAATTAAAGTCTCCCTTCCTCTTTCCAAACAGCCCCAAACCCAATGCCACTCCTCACTTCTTTTTTTTTCTTTGGAGGTATTCAGAACGCATTCATTAAGACGGAAGGGAATATATTCTTCCCCTTAGAAAATTACATCCCAAAACAGCGGACACCCAACAAAGTAATCTAAAGGTGAAACTGTAACAGGCATTCCCTAGGCAACCCAGTCTACCATCCTAAATATGCACCAGATCAAGAAGAAAAACACAACAATAGAGCCTACCCAGAAACCCCAAAAAACCCTCTTTCCTGCTTACAGCAAAAATATGCAGAATAAACAAAACAACAGACCCAGAAAAAAAAAGTATAGACAAAACTTACCACCCAATATCCCAAGCCTAAGGCTTGCAAAAAAAAGGCTCTGAGAACACCAAAAGCTTCACACATCCGGCAGCCTGTACACCGATGAGCTATATACCAACACACAACCCAAAACAAGAAACAACATTGTGCATATGACGACAATCATGTAAGATAACACAAACCTGTATCAACATGACATTCAATCTCCACTCCTTACTTCTCTCCGGGGTAATTGGGTACAAATTTAGTCCTCAGAGCTTTGGTGTTATTCTGATAAGTAATAGATGGTATGTTGGTCTTATTGGTAGCATAAGCCAAATTTGGGGAAAAATAAACAATTGTAAAGAATTTTTACATGCACATGTGCAAGAGGTCTGAAGGAAATAAACTACAAAGCAGAAGAAATATGCCCTCAGTTCGGTTCTCTCTGTCTCTCTCTCTCATTGGATACGTTAATGATTCATCACATGCACACACAACAGTGCCGAGGGAAAATGCTGTTTCTGTTCAGACCTCAAAATCTCGTCAACCACGTCTCCCAACATCCCACCATTTCATTGGTCTCTCTGATGAGAACGGTTCTCTGTCCGGCTCTCTCTCTCCAGCTTAGCACTTCCACCAAACTTGACCGTTTCCCGACGTGACATTGACTGGGAGGGAACGAGGGCTAACACACGTGGCATATTAGTACAAATTTGCAGCCAGTTAATGAGCATGGGCTTAATTCTCTAAATTACTTCCCAACTCCTTTCGTTTGCAGGTACGATTCAATGAGTACAGGCAGAAGAAACAAGTCTCCTACTCATTGATATCCGAAAGGCAAAAGGCTCAACGAGATCAGTTCGTAAGATTCAGGAGATGATCCGCACATCCACAGCCTCACATTCCAACCATCAAACCTCCTCTACGAAAAAGCTATTTGTCCACTTCTCTGACGCCATTCAATTCCAAGGAGGGGCAGAGCCGAAGTGTGGAAAGCAGAAAAGGTTGGCAGTGTTTAGGGGTCCATGCCTTAATTTATGACAATTTCGGGGTTAAATAATCAATGTATGTATATACGGAGCTAACTAATTTTTATCAGAAGATCAAAAATTAAAAAAATTAAAAATTAAAAATTTTTAAAATTAATATATTAAACTTAATTATTAATAATTAAAAAATTTATAATAAAAAATAATTGTATAACATGTAAATAAAAAAAAACTTATAATAGTATTTTAAAAAAATTTTGTTCGACAATAATAATATCTTTTTTAATATAAATAATTAAATTAGTAATATACTTATCATTCATTTTATTTTAAAGTTTTATCTTTTTTAATATAAACTATTAAAAAATTAATGTAGTTAACATCTAATATTTTTATTTTTTATATTTAAGTTTATAATACTAAATATTAAACTATAATGCATAAAATATAAATAGTTAAATATAATATACATAATTAATAATTTCTTCTTATACTCAAGATAATTTACTTTTAACTAAATATAAAACGTAAAGCATATTAAAAACATATACTAAAGTAATTTTTTTTATATAATTAAGATTAATAAAAATAATATATTACTGAAATTTTAAACAATTACTAATAATGCAACACTAAAACCTATATTTGAGAATTACATATATAATAATTTTTAAAAATTAAAATTATTAAAAATAAAATCCACATAATAAAAAATAAAATCCATGACAAGTAAGAGATATCACTTATATAACTAAAAAAAATGATTGATGATTCGTAGAAATTTTTAAAAAAAATTTATAAAAACTTAAAATATATGAGTAAATAGAATAGAGTTAAAAAAGATAAATAATAATAATAATATAAATTAATTAATTAAATAAATAAAAATTTTATCTTTATATAATTTCACAATAATGGAATAGAAAAGAAAAAAGAGAAATATAGATAAAAAAATTTAAAAAATTTACAAAAAATAAAATTTGAATAAAATTAAATAAAATTTATAAAATTATTTTATCATTTTTAAGTATATTATTTATTTAATAAAAAATTATTTTTAAAAATTATGAAAAAATAAATAATATTTAAAAAATTTCAAAAACTTTAACCCCTAGGGATGCTCTGCCCCTGAATGCATGCTCTTATGACTAACTCACCCTTTCACTCCTTAAAGTACACAAATTAATTTTCTAACCCTTTTATCACATGACATAAGTTTTAGAAAAAATTCATAAAATGTCTTTAATCAAGTAATATTAATTGATTTTAACTTTGTATCTATATCAATAAAAGGCAGTCGGCTTGTATAATTAATGCAAATAGATTTGTTGAAATTTGATTCGATGGTTATTTTGACGAACACAAGTTTTCCACTGCTGATGTAAGCTCCATCACATCAATTGGCCTACGTAAAATCTTGTTAGATTTTTTTTGTAGGTCTTGTTTTGATTCTGCACACGAAAAACGTCAATGCCGTGGAAGACCAAAAACCCTTGCCATTTTTCAGGTAAAAATTTGTCAAAAATTATCAATTACAAATAAATGAATTAATTCATACTCAACAATTAATTATAGATCGTATTTGTGTTGTAAGCCCCTTTGCTTACGAATCATGAATGTATTCACTTGTATCGATGTTGAAATAATTATGAAGATTTAATTTTTAAACTTAAATTAATTAAAAACATCTAATTATTTGTTTGATACTTTTAATTGTTAAATATGTTTTGAAAAAAATAATATTAGAATCATATTAGAATGATAAGAAAGTTTATGAGGGTAACGAGAATAAATAAATTCTTAAACTCAATAATTGATTGAATAAAATATTAATTATATATAAAATTAATTAATTTTATACCGATATAGCATGGTCCATCCTCTTAGACAAAAAGGGGCACCAAACATGTCTAAAAGATTAAATAGTATTAAAAACCGATCTAAGACAGCATAGGAAAACAAACCAATGACGAGGTCATTTGTTTTGTCAAAATCAAACACAAAACGACATTAACAAAAGTAGGAAAGTGGTACATATGAGATTTCGTGTAGGGCTGCTCTGGTTCTATGGAAATTCTCCTCTTATTTTTCGTCTGTTGGACTGAATATATGGTTCTTAGATTTCGTACAGAAGCTGCCCGAACGTTTTCATGTGAGCGGTGTCTAAGCATGTGACCAGATACAAGCTCCCATCCTTAACGGGGCTTGGTAGGACGTATGTCTTGCCGTCTTGGGAGACTTTGGCTGCACCTAGCCAAATGGGACAACCCCATCCGAAATCTGCTTCATAGATGGGCAACCACACCCAACTGTTGATGCTCAGATTTGGGCATTGGAAGCCTCGGGCTCCTCGCACCGGAGCCCTTACGTTGGGCACTGTTTCCATGTGGTCGATTGCCGACCTTAGGTACTCATCGTCCAGTCGCTTCAATATTGTCTGGATTCTCTTTGCGGTATCCGGAAATGACTCTGATTGGATATCACCGTTTGGAGCAATCGTTGCAGCCATGAAGATTACGTTTCCGAGATAGCCTGGTGGGAGAGGTGGACGCAATCTGGACCGCCCGTCAATTGGAATGTATAGCTTGGTCGGTTGATCATCCGCAAGGCATCGTGCTTTACTCACACAACGCCATATATGGGCCGCCAGGCTGTTGTAAGTGCTGTAGTTGCCAGCATTACCGTCTTTGTTTGCCTTGTCTTTCAAGGTGTTGAGCTGGTCGGGTGTGAGTTTGAAGATGGACACGGTTGTTTCAGGATCTGACTGGGGTTCGTGATCAGTATTCATGGAAAGAGGTGGGTCGTACTCAACATGGTGAAATGTGGGAGTTGGCGGGTCTCGAGCTTGAAGGAGAGACCTATCAATGTGAGGTTCGGCACTAAGGGGAAGACCTCGTGCCAATTCAGCCCAACTGTTGACGAAATGAATCCCAGCTGGACCGTCTGCCAAAGTGTGTTGTAATCCGATCCCAAGACAGACTCCTCCACACTTGAATTTTGTGACCTACGAAAATTTACAACATTCAAACCATTAAACTTCTTAGAATTTGAAGCAATCAAAGCTTAAGACTAATTTTCGACTAGTGTATACCTGTGACAAAATGAGTGCATACGAGGAAATATCTGCTGCATAGTCAACCGTGGGAACTAAACGCCAAAGCTCTGAACTGTGAATGGTATCCCCAATCAAGTCATCTATCACAGCATCAGTTTCAGCCTCGATGAATAAAGCTCCCTCCGCGTTGCAATTTATCTCAATTCTTCCCGTTTCATCCCTTGCCAACCTCCCAGCCATGGGGTAGAATGGAACGAGAACCTTGCTTAAAGCCTCCATAAGCACTTGAGCATCAAAGAAATTGGAAGAACCGTTTGGTCTGAAGAAGTACACCGTAGGGACATGATGCAGTGTCATCAGTAGTTCTAAGTTTGAGCTCCATAGCCGATGCTTCGATGTCTCTTCAGCAGGATACACCATGGTCGATTTCTTTGTAGTAATCTCCATCTCTCGTCCCTACCTCAAAGTAACAAACATAATAGCTTTGCTAATCAATTAATTAGATTGAAGACTAAAAAATAATAAAGTGTTAATTTTAACCAAACTAAACTCAATTTTGTAATCTCTTTTTCATATCATAAACTTCTTCTATTTACAGAGAGTAGTTAGACATTCATATATGTACAATAGGAGAAGAAAAGTGCGCATACCTCAAGCAAGCACAAGAAGAATTTGACAATTCTTAAGGATAAAAAGGATAGTCTTGCGAAGTAAGGACTTTGAGAACAAGGCAAGATTAAGGAGTTTTGAACTTACAAGTAGTCAGACGTCTACGTCTCTTTATAGACTCACAAGGAGGGACGAGGGTACATGTGGTTTGGAGAACACTCTAGACACAGGCTTACATTAATGATTTAATCAGAGTAAGTTATTGCAAGTATCCCAGATATTTACTGTGAAGATTCTTTTGGTCTTGGTCATCCACATTCTGAAACTGATAAGATTGATTACTTATCCATAATTAAGGTCTAGTGGAGAGTGATAATGGGTTAAAGAAAGTTATTAGGGGCTTAAACGATGCATGACCTGGACCTCAGGTCGACCACGTCTCCCACCTACCATTACCATTTCATTTCTTTTCCACTTTTTTGTTTTTTTGTTTTATATCCAAATGCATCAATTGACAGAAGATTGGAAAACATAAGGATAAATGAAGGCAATCAATTAAGGAACATAAGTTCAGACTATAAACAGAAAAAGTAATCAAGTATCAGCCAAAACAACGTAAACCAAGTATTGCAGAGGCCAAATTTAAAGACAATTAAGCAACTATTTCTATAAGTAGCTAGGGAAAAAAAAAAAACCCCAAGGTGCATTAAATGCAGTTAGGACCTGATGGCTATGGGAGCCATATTCACCGTGGGTTGCTCCTAGTGGAGAGCATGGAGACAAGTAGGCCTAAAAACAAAAAGTCTAGTTGTCCTTGGACGATCACATAAATAGTTTTTTTTTTAAACTAAAATGGAGATTTTAAAGTTTAAGTTAATTAGTTTTTCTTTTCTATCTACAACTATATTTAAAGCAAGCCTCAAAGGCTGATAGACCTCTTGCCTTGATACTTGGCACTCTCAAGCTTATAGACTTTTACTTACTTGGGTTTTTCGGCTTAGGCTTGCTTTGAGCTTAATGGAGGGTTTTTTCTTCGACCTATGTATAGCTTTGTTACTCTATTCTTCCTATCTCCGTCGACTCTCTACGTGGCTTCAAGATTCTGGTTCTTGGCTTCACACATGGTTAGATTTTTGGGACGTGGGCTTCAGGTCTAAAGGGGTAAGATTTTTGAGACGTGAACTTGAGATCTGAGGGTGGTTAAGTTTGAAGGATTTTTGTCTTTACACGTGATTAAGTTTAGGAGATATGAGCTTGAAGTCTGATGGATTGGATTTATGATTGGGTTTCTAAGACCTAGACCTGAGATATGATGGAGTTAAATTTGGATTAAATTTTTTTTCTTTGTTTTATATTTTTTTTATTTTTTATATATAAAATATGTGATTTGTTAAATTTATCGAGAGTTACATGTTTTCAGATTTTTCACCATTTTTCACCTTTCATTTTTTTTATATCGTAGGCTTGAAAATTTTATTTAAAGTTTTATTTTGTGCTAAGGTTATTTATAAGTGTATTTTTATATGAAAACACTACCACAAATATCACCATAATGACTATAATAATAACAATTACATATTTTACACACGTTAATGTACACCAACAATTATATTATTGCATATCTATTTCACAAAGTATTTTCAACTCAATTGAAATTTTTTTTTACTATTCCAAGGACATCGCACATACAGTAGACTAGTTATATTCAAAAGAAGGGAGAGATGAAATCCTCCTCTATCATATTCATATGATTTGGAATTAGTTGAGACATCATGTTTAATGATAATCATATTAAATGGATTTTGTTAATAATTGCCTAACAGGCAATTATTATTTATATATTAAAAGATATTTAATTTAAATAAAAATAATTACCTTTTAATTATTACATTTTATGTGGAGAAATACAAATTCTTTTATTATAATTGAAGAAATTTTATTTTTTAATTTGTATTTATACAAATTCTTAATTTAATAAAAAATTAACTATCATACTCAATGTTTATTCATATTTTTTATTCACATAATATATGAAATGATTTGACTATCAAATATTGTGATATATGGTGGTCAACAGGGTTACATATCACATAAGGTGTGCCTCATTGCACAAGTGCCTTAATGTGTCATGACAGCCCCTTGGTGTCGCTGAGTTCAAATTTAATGTCGATGGTTCTACTAAGGTAAGTATCACGCCCCAAGAGTTCAAAAGTCTCAACACGTGACACAAGCATGAGCTTATAGAATAGGGGGGGTGTTCTATACGACTTTGATAGGTATATATATTATTGGTGTATTTTTTGGATCCTAGGCATTCAAGACTCCAATTACGCAGAGATCACGACGATTAGACATGCCCTGTAGCTATTCTCTTTGTCCCCATTTGTAGGCCCTAAGAAACTTATCATGAGTCCGACTCCTTGGTAGCTATTTCTTGGGTGTATATGCTGATACGTACGAGGCCTAGGAACAAATGGGCCATTTTCAATGAAATTGATGCACTAATTCAATACACTGGGGATGTATTTTATCGTGCACACGTTGAGGGAGGGAAACACATTTGCAGATGCTCTTACTAAATCCGGTGTTGATAAGCAAAGCAGGATTTCTGCTTGGTGGAGACTAGATTTTGATTTCTGGAGCTGCTGTTTTCTATGATGTCTTCTTATATCCTTTAGCTTGTAGCTGGGTCATGAGTGTATATTTGTGCTGTATTTTCTTGGTGCACTCCAATGGACTATATTGTCTACAGGGCAATGTACACAGACATAATGAGAGGCTTTGCTGCCTACCTCGTTTATGGGTCGCATTGCACTTGTCACTGTTTCAACAGTAATATATAATATACAGATTTGGGTTTAGTGAAACAAATTACCATATGATAGAAAATATCGATTAACATTCAGTATGATTGTGATTAATTTTCTGTTAAAGAGTTTAAAGTTTGTGTGAATACAGAGGTTAGAAGTTTTCTGGACAATAAAATACAATAATTTAAGAGATTTTTTTATAATATTTAAATCAAAATATTCACTTTAATACATTAAAAATTTATCACATTTAACTGTCTGCTATTTACTATAAATAACATTTCGTTAACATTTGTCATTAAAAATCAAAGCGAAGCTTAACACTTAACACCATATTTGGGAGCACTAGGCATCACTGCATCACCACCGAGCTATCAGTACAAGAACATAGAAGAGAGCAACCCAAGTATCCCATATCTGAGCACAACTAAGAGGAGGGAAGAGGGTTTTAGTAGCAAAGAGTTTGCTCCACTTCTCTTGCCACGAGGACGAAGAAGATCTCCACCGCCATAAGTTCCCTTCCCTTTCTTGTTGTGATCAATAACTTTCTTTTCTTTCCAAACGTCCCTCAGGTAAAGTGCTTCATGTAAACCATTAAACGTTCTTTGACTCCTATTTACATCTGCCAAAAATATGGATTAATTAATTAACAATATTAATGACAATACGTATATATATTAATGTCGAAAGCTTACTCTTGGGTTGTTTTTCCTTCATCAATGGCGGCTTGATACCAGCATGAGCTGCAGCTCCTGGTGAGGTGAAAGCCCTACTTTCACAAAAGGAGTGTAAGAGGGCATTGGAACAAGTGATGAAGAAGAGCCATTGAACAACTCTTCTCTTCATTCCAGATGACAGGAGAATGAATCAGGGATATCTTCTGGCTCTCCAATTTTAGGCTCCCTTTGAATTGTTACCTTACAGTTGGGTGATTATTTATAAAGAATCATGAAGGAAAATGAATACTTTCTTGACCACAAGAAAAAGGAAAAAGGGTTATGCCTAATAGTAATGTTTGATTTAATTAGGGGATAAAGGTACCTCAAAGCAACTTTAAATTCTCAAACATGTGATAGGATACTAATTCCACAAGGAATCCCAAGGCAATCAAAGACACTAAAAAGCCATTGTCGGGTAATTACATTGGTATATTTTTAATTTATATAATTTAAATAAATTTTTAATCCAATTGTTATATTTTAATTTTAAAAAAAATAAATTTTTGTAATTGATTATTATTAATTAAAATAATTTTTGTTATTTTTATGTTAAAGTGATATTAATGTAAAAAATAAAACTATTACATGACCTTGTCATTCTATCATATTACTATTTATTATAACATATTATAAAATGAACTGTATCATTTTAATTAATGGTCCTGCTTTTTTTACTTTAAAAATCTTCAATTTTCCCCTCCTTTTTCTTTTCATAAAAAATGGCGGAAAGAGAAAGGATATGCCTTAATTGGGCCGGTGGAGGTGTCCTGTAAGCATTTGCTTTTGACGAATGCCAGCAGGAAAAAGGTTAAAACAGAAGAATAAAGGAAACCCTTTTTGTTTTCCATTTCAAAGAATCCAATAATTCACCTTTATTGAGGTTGTTTAATCCCACTTTTTCCTTAATAAGATGAAGATCATAGGGAATCCGGTGCCTATCTAATTTTCTTCCTACACTCATAAAAAAACAATTTCTTTGAATTATTGTAGTTTGAAAAATATTAATATTATTATTCTATCGTCTATACATCACATAATGTAAATTTTCAAAATAAATCTATTTTATTTTATTACGGTACATAAAATATTTCAATATTATTTATCTCAAATTTAACAATAGAGTTAGTAAAAATATTACTTTTTGAAAGATATGTATAAAGAAAGAATATATATATATATATATAGTTAATTAGTTTGTTATACAAAAGACAACATCTAAGAATTAAATGTAGAATATGTGCTCAAACCAATGCCACCCACACCATCCGAGCTAGTACAAGGAGACTTAGGCTTTGATGCTTTAGGGTTCTATACTTTGCTTTCCCTCTCTGCTGCACGTTTCATGGGATAAAAAATTCTAACTTCACTGGATGAAAGTGGATGTGGTTAGGTAATTATCAATAAATGAATGGTCTCTTTGCTTGACATTTGATTTGTTATGAAGATGAAGAACATCATGAAAATAACATGAAGGAGCATCCTTTTGTTGACAATTCCATGTGTGATCAAGAAAATATTGTACTACACACCCCGGCCACATCTCCCTTCCTGTATTTGTGAATAAGATATTTTTTATCACCCTTTCACTCTTTCCTTCGGTCTTTATTACCAAACAGAACCTTGGAGCTGATCATGTTTCGCTATATCTGTACATGTAATACTGAGCCAAAGTTGGCTATGAAATGGATGAACCAGAAAGCAACACCTGTTGCTAGCTTCAAACTTAGTAATCTTGGGGTTATCTTAAGTAGAGTTAGTGGCAGAATAGTTATCTGATAAGCAAAGATCGAACCAGAATCAATTTTCTATTGAGGCCCGTAGAAAGAATCCATTATTTTTTCCAGGAATGCAAGTAGCCGAAGTGAGTAAAGTGACATGTATCCATATCAGGTTTCAATTCCCATGCGCAATAAAAAACCCTTCATATCATTGGATAGCAGGCCACTATTCTAGTTTGTGGCTTCTCATCATTTAACTTGCACAAGCTTATTTATTTCTTGGTGATCATATCACTAGAGGAGGATGATGGTTTGGTGTCAAATAAACATAGAAGAGACGCAAAGTTGGGCAGTTTGAAAGGCAAATGCTGAAAAAAGAACCGAAGAAATAACAAAGGGTTGACTGCTTTTTAGATGTAGATAGGTACAAGTTCGTGTGTTTCACCTTCTGGCTTTATCACTTCTAAAACCAAATTCAGCATGTGAAACTCTTCAAAGAAAGCAACATCCAATATCCTTTTATCTGTTCAAATAATTATAGTTCCAGTGGCACTTGGTGTGCTAGAATCCAACTTTAGCAGCCGTAAGCTTCCAAAAACCTTCTGCCCTACCAGGATACTCATGATCTGATGCACCATATAATGGAAAACCAGCAATGTAACAGGAAATGAGGACCGTGTGTTTATCAGAAAAGAAAAGAACTTTCAAAGTGATAGCACTCGTGAGTCGTGACGTTAATCTATGTGCCACAGCCGCGCAACTACCCACATAAAAAAGAGAGTCAAATTAGAGTAAAACACTACGTCAACTGCAACAATCACAATTCAGGCATGCTTCAATGCGAAGTATAAATAGAGGGTCGCGAGAGGGAATTTTTCCCATGACAAAGAAAGCGAGTCAAAAGAGATACAGATATAGTAGAACCAAAACTAGCAAGAAATGAGGTCAACAATGCTGCAAACTTTGTTGTTGTATTGCATAGTTTTTGATGTAATTTGTGTTTTAGGGGATGTTGGGACGGCCAAGGCGTATGATCCTCCATACTTGCGTAAGTAGAAACACTACCCTTTTGAGTTTTGCATCTTATACTCACTGCTCTTGGCCATGCATTTGTAGCATTGATTGCAAAAGGACTAAAGGATACGTGATATAGTATCCAAGGCTTCCTCAAACTTAACCAATCATTAGGTTAAGTCTAAGTAATTTCTTTAATCATGTTTGGCCGGTTAGTTTTTGCACGCAAATAATGTAAACTATGTCTTTTAAAAGGTGCCTTCTCCCCTTTCTGTGGCATGTTCGAAAGTGCAAATCGACCATTTTTCCTGCTTATATTCGTCACCTTGGAATAGTAATATTCTTTCTTTCCTTGTATGAATTGATCTGTCTTAAATCAATGAAGCAACCAAATGCAATGGCTACAACGAGGATCAGTTCCCTCCGGGTGGGCTCTTTGCTGCGGTGAGTGATGGGTTATGGGATAATGGAGCATCATGTGGTAGGAAGTACAGGATCAGGTGCATCAGCGGCCCAAAGCGGCCATGCAAAGGTAGATCCATAGTTGTGGAGGTTGTTGATCGTTGCACAGAAGATCGTTGCCCCGTAACCATGCAGCTGTCAAACAAAGCCTTCGACGCCATCTCAAAATTTGATGCCAGAGTTAATGTTGAATATGCACAGTACTGAATTATGATCCTTCAAATTTGTTGATGAATTATACTCTCAAGCATCAAAACAACACATGAAATGAATATATGATTCTCTTTTTTTCCTTTCTGTTTTGCAGGATTTGAAGTAACTTTGCTAGAGTTTAAGAGCATCTACCTTAGGATCCCTTGCAGCCATGAACACAAAAAAGTTGTAGATTACCACTCTGTATTACTAGAATAAAGTGAACTATCAGGTGTTGTTGGTTCTGTATTTCAGAGCCATTACCAAGATTAATAAGAATATATCACCATACTCTTCAAATAAGGCCTTTTTTTTTTGTATGCTACGTTCCTGATGATCTTGAAAGGGGTAGCAGAGAGATAAATCTCAATCCCCGACAAGTTTTAAGGAGCCAAAGAAAAAAAAGAAACTATTAAATCAATTTCAATTTCCAAGTTTGAAACAAAGCTGTGTTATCAAGAACCAAAAGCAGAACATTTGTCAAGTTGATAATTTTGAGAAAACTAGTAAGCCAGGTTAACCCAAACCCTGCAAAATGATAGCAGAAAGAGATGAACTCTGCGCTCTCAGCATGGAACTCTGTTTTAACTATATGTCATGATTATACTCAAAGAAGAAAAGCCGCTGGTAACAATAAACATGCTATTAATATAATCTTATTCCATAGTGTCAGTAATTCTCTTGAAGAGAAGTAATAAATGAATTCAAGTCCAACAGGTTATCTGAAAAATTTTACACATTATTATCACAAATACGAAAATTATAGGTAGCGGCCATCAAGTACTATAAACCTACTGCTCATGAGGATGCCTGGTGTTGAATGGTGCTTGCACTATAATTTCTGAAATTTCGGAGCTCCCTCTGGAAGTAAGGATGAAGGAAACAAACTCCTTCAAGGTATAAAGGTGTCTGCATTTCGATCAAGCGAGATACCTACAAAGATAGATGTATATCTATTGTAATTCTGCTAACCTAGGAACTATCTTCTCTGTTCTCTTTTCTGCTTCCCCATAAAACAAGGGGTGAGGAGGGAAGAGAGAGAGAGAGAGAAAATGGGGATCTACATTTGACAGAAACATGCAGAGGAACACTTACAGCTCGGCGGAAGGCAAACATCTCTTCTTGACCAGATAGCATGGATGTTATACCTGCTGGTGCACCACCTGAACTCACACTTCCTTCTGCCAAAACATCCCGGCGAAGTTTTGCACCCTCCGTCTCTGTTTCGAACTGGAAACTGGAAACAAGCAGATTAGCATATTCAACTAGTTGCAAGCAGATCTTTTTGACCAGATCACCAGATAACCAACAATGAAGGAGTTTATTCCTTTTCATGAATGCTTTATATACATTCAGCAATTGCAACTGTCAAATTAAAGTACTTAGTGCATGTTTCAAGCATGCTGCTTGTTTATATTGCTTGGCTATTTGGATGAGCTAAATGCTCTCTTTCAAGAATTAGCACCGACTCTGTGCATTCAACAAGGCTGCGTTGGAATTTTGTGCCAATACTTGAAATAATGGAACAAAATGAATGGGAACAGGGAAGAGTAAATTAGCTTCACATGTCAAAACCTCTTCTTTTTTATTATTTTTTCTTTTATATATGTATCTTTCAAGGATGATTGTAAAGCAAATATAAGGCTTACCTTTCCAGATCAAAAAGTGTACCCTCTTCGGTTCCTTGAAATAAGTCATCAATAGAAGAAGCAGCTGAACAAAATAGGCGGCAATGATGGTTGTATAGCTCATCAATGAGGGTAATAAACCTACGTGCCTGAGAAGTGGAAACATACAGTCACTTATGATCGGATAAAGAAGTGCAGCAAAAAGCTATCAGTGATTCTATTCCCTTTCTCTTACACATTATTTGCTATTTGTATAGAATGGTACCTTGTCACGGATTCGCATACTCATAACAGGAATATCAGAGATGAAGACTGTATGATGGTTTTTTGCAACTGCAATATAATCTGCAGCACCTACCTGCAGATAATTGAAAGTGATAAATTAGCAGAAAAGAACCAATCATAAAGATGTTCAGGTTTTTATAGATGTTGTTTTTGCCAATTTTATAAAATGTTGAAAACTTATGTTGTTAATTCAAGAGAGGGACATGAGCTGTTCAGAACTAAAACAACTCACACAAACAGCACGGAAAGCATTGTTTGATCACTTTGATCAGTAAGCTTTCTACTAATGGGAATTGTTATGAAAGGCAACTGCCTTTCTTTCAGCCAAGAATATTTGTGTCTCAATTTCTAGGGAACCTCTTTTGGCTGCTTTCCAACTTTGAGGAACTTAGACCACTCATATCTTGCCATCTTTGTGGTACACACAGATTAATCTCACTAATACCAGTTATTCGCATCTTATTCTGACCTAAATATTATTTTTTTTCTCTCGGCTTTTGCTTTTACATATGTTTTACAATGTTCAGCTCTGGATAGTGAAGGCACCCTAAATATCAGATCAGTCAACAGTGAATGGGTTGAAAAAAGTCATATGCTGTTAATAAGTCTCACAAGAAGATTGGGAAAGCACATATCCAGAGAATCAAGAAGAGAGAGAATAAGTTATGAACTCATAATAAGCCAAGTATAATACCGGCCGACCACATAGATACTCAAATGTGAACCGTGCTACTCCATTACAGCTCTCAGGAACCTCCAATTTCCTGATGTAAAGAAAAATACACATGTTTAAAATGGATTGATAAAGCAAACCAATGCCATTAGTCTAACAAATACCTTCCAAACATCACTGGAACAGTATTAGATGTGACTGTTCCTCCAGCCTGTTTTATAACCTGACACCATATTTTCTCAAATTCCTCTGAAGTAGTACCATCTAGAGGCCAAAAATAATGAACCTGCATGTACACAGTTCTCAATTTAACCACTAAATAGATTTTCAAGTTTTCCTAAATTAGGAAAAGAAAATTATTATCTACAATTAGGGATGAAGAAAGAAAAACAATTGTCCATGTCAAAGGAAAGCAAGGAAAAAAAATCAGTATCCACATAGAGAAGCATGAAACATCACCCTGTCTATAGGCCTCTGTGCTATTAGTCGGCGATAATCAATCTCGCCTCCAACCAAAATGATCTCACAATGTTCTTCCAACTTATCTATGAAGTTTAGGAAGATCTCTCGCTGCATGCCATCCTGCATGAGCAAAATAAAAAAAGAGAAAAAGGGAGAACGGGAAAGCTCATCAATTGTTAACTGGGTACAATTGAAGTCATACAAATCTATAGGCTGAAAGGGAATTGAAGTTTTCCAAAACACCTGATTTAATTCCTTTGGTGCTCGATTACTGGTGGCAACAAGAACAGTTCCAGTACTAAGTAATCTGCTTAGAATTCCAGATAAGGCCACAATAGCAAATACATCAACAGTCTGTAATAGATAGCAAAAAAGTTCAAGTCATATCATGAGTTATGCATTCTGAAAACTGGTTTTGGTTTGACCAACATTCTGTAGCACATGGTGAAGAACAGTCATCAATGCTCCTATAGGAATGAAACTTAGACTCATTGCTATATACAATAAAAAAAATAGAAGGTTCTCATTCTCTTGTCAGAGACCAAACTGGCAGTTTCTACTCTTCGTATATTGAATAATTTAAAAAGAAACTGTCAAACTGTGATTGTCAAAGATTTAACCAATGGTCATGCCAACCAGCATCAAGGGTTCACAAATTTTGCTTAAAATGTCAATGAAACACACTACCTGTATCTCGTCAAAGCAAAGAATGCTAGCTCCTCTTTCTTCTGCTTGCCTGTCAACAAGAAACTTATCTGCTACTGCAAGAAGAATGTTTTTCATCTGAACCTCTTGTTTATACTTTTCTTCATCAGCTAGCCACTCCTTGGCTTTCATATCAAAGGGAAGATTCATAATCCAAGAAGATATGCTTGACTGCAAAGACTTTTCCTCAACTTGATTTTTCCACAACTTATGCATATCTTCATTTATTTTAAGCATCGCCTGCCAATGTGAAAGGCAATTGTAACTACCACGTGTTTTTTTTTAAAAAAAAGAGTACAAACTACTCAAACTGTGTCCCCTATCAACACATGCTTATTTGAGAAACTAGCAACCATAACAACTTATGCCATAGCACATTGCACAAGAAGAGCCTATTCTTTGGGCAGGGAGGACCGCAGTTTAGAAGGATAACTACTAAAATACCAGGTACCAATGCTCCCTTTGTGTCTCAGCAACAGTAAAATAGCTTTCTTCTATAGAATTATTACAGATTCAAGTATGAGAATACTCAAGACAAGTACAAGAAATGGCTTACCTCATGAAAATGGAACCTTCGACGATGTTTAACTATTCCATCAGTGGCACCATAAAACATATCCATAAGCATTGTCTTCCCTACAGAAAATGAGCTGAAGTTAATAAATTTCTACCATCAGTCTGTTCACACTGAAAGAATTATGGAAACAACATACAGGGAGATAAAACCCATTAAAATGAGAAACAAAATTTCCAATTTTTTCTGGTCTGATTATTGGTTCACAATTCACATTTACTTCATCAATGAAATTTGGCAACATACCACTTCCAACATTCCCATATATATACAGTCCTTTTGGGGCTGCAGGAGCTGTAGGACGACGACCAACAAGTGAATCCAACTTCTTCTCACGATTGAGGTATGAAACCCACTTACCTACTCCAGGTTCTATATCTTCAGATTTTCTCCTGAGTCAAATGAAACTTCACAATATCAAAAAGAACTAAACAACGAACAGATTTGGATTTCCATCCATATGTTTCATTTGTAGTTTGTTAATAAAAACAGAAGCAGCATCCCTCACCGGAATGCCCATCTTTCTAAAAGTTTACTCCTACGACTTTTAACTGATGTCCAAAGGCCCCCACGCTGCTTGAGCTCAGCTTCCTCCATCAAAAGCCTCCGCCGCTCATTCTCCCTGTGTTTCTCCCACTCAGCTAGCTTAATCTATAATAGGAAGTTTAAATGCCAAATTTTACAAACAAAATGTCATGGTAACAGAATAATCACTACAAAAATGAATGGTACATCACTAAATTAGAGTGAAAAATATACATGATATTCCTCCATATCTTTTTCATACTGTTCCAACCTCCCAAGCAAATTTTCCAATGCCAAAGCAACCCTTTCTTGGTAAGGATCATGCTGCAGCCTCCCTTGCTCCACCAAGTTGCAGAAATGCGATAGAGGTCCTGAAGCATAACACTAAAGCATAAAACGGAGGTTTATTAAGCATTATCTTGCTTAGTTTATCCAGTCCAACATAGAAAAATGTTTCTGCTTGTAAGAGTTAATAATCTAACGTTTTTCTTTCCCCACATGTCTAACCTTTTCATAAAAAACCAAAAAAGGTTAAATCCTTTTTTATTTGCTATTCTAACTCCTACTTCCTAGACACAAACAAACTAGACCAATCATACCCAACAAAGGCGCCTCACTTCAAAATCCAAAATTTGTAGCTAAGGTCGCAAAAAAATTCAATTTTGGGAAATGCCTTCCTCAAGTTTTTAACCAAATATAGCATGAAGACGATAATGAACTAAATATGAAAATAAAATCAAGCATAGGAACCTGGAGGTTTTGGGGAAGAAAGATCCTCTGAATATGGACGAATTGCAAGGATGAGATACTTATTTGAAACTCTTCGTTGGACAATCCCCTGATTCAGAAGCGAAGATATTGATAAAATTCTTCTCATTTTCTTTCCTTTTCTTTTTCCTGATAGTGGTATTGTCTTTCCGAATTGGTGGGAAGTTTGAGAGAAATTTCTGTCTCTCTATAGTTGACCCGGGGGGGGGGGGGGGGGGGCGGGGAGACAAGAAAAGGTGACGTGGCAGTCGATCTACCAGCCACGTGGCATCAAAAAGCAATACTGACGTGGAATGGTAATTCAGTGTTGAAGTATGGGAACTGGGGTTTTTCCTCCTTTATGTCTCTGCTCATTTTCGAGAACGATACAAGTGTAACTAATCGATGAGATTCACTGTCATTGATTGATGGACTGCAAAAGCTAGCAATGAATTTGCTTTCAACGTCTATTCATGCTATCTTCAACCCCAAAAACCAAGCTTTTAATCCTCCTCCGTTCACTCACAACATCAGTCACCAGCAGCAGCAGCTACCAAGGAGCTGCGGCGGAACACGGCTGCCTGACTCTCCTCCAATCATGCAACACCTTCACAAACCTCCTCCAAATCCATACCCAAATTCTCAAATTGGGTTTCCAAAATAACCCTTTAATTCTCACCAATTTTGCATCCAAATCCTCTGACCTCAACTCGATTGACTACGCCCAGTGCTTCCTCTTTTCACCCCACTCAAACACTCTTTACTATGATGCTTTCCTTTTTAACACTGTCATCAAAGCTTATGCTCAAACTAGGAACTTAAAGTCTAAAGCTTTATGGGTTTTCAATTTCATGCTTGAATGTAAAGTATTACCTAATAATTTCACGTACCCATTTGTTTTAAAGGCCTGTGCTGGCATTGGGGACTTGAATTTAGGCATGTCCGTGCATGGGTCGTTGTTAAAATTTGGTTTCGATGTGAATAATCATGTTCTAAACACATTGGTTCACATGTATAGTAGTTGCAAAGGAGGGATTCAATTTGGTCGGAAAGTGTTTGACGAAATGACGAGAAAGGACTCTGTTCCTTGGAGCGCTATGATTGGCGGGTATGTTCGTTTGGGGCGGTCAACGGATGCGGTTGACTTGTTTGGGCAGATGCAGATAGAAGGCATTTGCCCTGATGAGATTACCATGGTTGCTGTTTTGTGTGCATGTACTGATCTAGGTGCACTTGAACTTGGGAGGTGGGTTGAGTCTTTTATTGAGAAGACAGGACTGAATAAATCCGTGGAGCTTAATAATGCGCTTATTGATATGTTTGCAAAGTGTGGTGATGTTGATAAAGCTTTGAAATTGTTTAGGACCATGAGTGAGAGAAGCATTGTTTCTTGGACTTCTGTCATTGTTGGCTTAGCAATGCATGGCCGTGGATTGCAGGCTGTTTCTTTGTTTCATGAGATGATAAGAGATGGAATGGTGCCAGATGATGTTGTTTTTATTGGATTGCTCTCTGCTTGTAGTCATTCTGGATTAGTTGAGAAAGGACAGGAATACTTTGATTTGATGAGGAAGGCCTTTGGTATTTTGCCTAAAATTGAACACTATGGATGCATGGTGGATATGTTATGTAGGGCTGGACTTGTTAGAGAGGCAGTGGAGTTTGTTCAAAAAATGCCTAATGAGCCAAACTCTATCATCTGGCGAACCCTGATAAATGCTTGTCGTACACATGGTGAACTCAAGCTGGGAGAGAGCCTTGCCCGACAACTAATTGAAAATGAGCCAATGCGTGAGGCCAATTATGTTCTACTGTCCAATATTTATGCAAAAATGTTTCACTGGGAGAAGAAAACCAAGATTAGGGAGGTGATGGACAAAAAGGGGATGAGAAAGATCCCAGGCAGCACTATGATTGAGCTAAATAATAAAATTTATAAATTTGTTGCTGGAGATATGTCACATAATCAGTACAAAGAAATATTAGAGAAGGTAGATGAGATGGGGAGAGAAATGAAGAGGGCTGGATATGTTCCATCTACGTCAGAGGTTATGCTTGATATTGATGAAGAAGACAAGGAAGATAATTTGAATAGGCATAGTGAAAAGCTGGCTATTGCTTTTGCTCTTATAAATACACCACCAGGAACTCCTATTAGGATTGTGAAAAATCTGCGAGTTTGTAGTGATTGTCATTCTGCTACTAAGCTTATCTCTAAGATATATAATCGAGAAATTATAGCAAGGGACCGGAATCGCTTTCACCATTTCAAGGATGGTTTATGCTCATGTAAGGATTTCTGGTAACGAAGTAATGACAGTTTCATCATGTTGGCTTGGTAGATAGAATCGTGACAATTATAGAGTTAAATCATGCTCTGTATCCTTTCTTATAAATCGAGAGAAATGTCAGTGGTGTGGAAGTTAGTTCCGGGACAAAGTTTTGAGCACAGATATGATGACCGTGCATGTTTTTCCACTGAAGTATGATCTGCTTAGATGGTCAGAGATAACTTCTGTTGATCCTCCGGAAGAATATCCCTTAGAAATATATGCTGTATGCAAGTTTTCAGTGTTTGTGACCACGAAGATTCTTCATCTGAATATTACTGTTATGTTTCCTCTTGATTTATTCGTGGATCTCCTGCTTGAAGAACTAATTTTCTGGTATGTATCACAGAAGGCTACAATGATCCTGAAGCCTTAATTTAAAGTGGAGTCAGCAATTAACCAAAGAAAGAAAATGGAGTCAGCAGCTTTGTTGGACAGGATTGCCCTTACTGACTGTGATTCTATGTAGTCTTGACAAACCTATAAATCAAAAATTGCAATGAGGGTGTGGATTTGAGTTATCGGAGCTCGTAATTCTTGTAGAATTCGCAGCCAACAAATATGAATTATTTTCAACTTGCAACGACTGACTTTATGAATTGTGTGAGTTTGTATTTAAGTGCTTTTCTATGTAGATTGTGGATATAATCCTGGCCCAATGTATGGTAGTATGGCAATTGAGAGATGAACTGTTTGTGTTGTTGATAACTGAAGAATTGTAGCCGTCTGGTGGGGTAAAATCTGCACTAAATCCTAATTCAGAGCAAACCCCAGGCAGAGCATGTGAAATCATATCGAGTTGGTTGAGGAGCTAAGCTGGGAAGTTGTGCTATCATTGGCCAATATATTCTTTGGAAGATCAGTAAAGATTATGTGACTGAAAATCACTTCTTTTGAGCTGCAGGCTCCCCTAAAGAAGGTGCTAGTTGGAAGGCTGTAGCAGCTGCCAGTCCAGTGATTCTTGGAGGTCAAGTTTACCTGGACTTTTGCTCTTAACAATTTTTTTGCCCCAATTAAAAGGGTATCTGCATGGTTTTTAGCATTGTCATAAGATTGGTAGTTTCCTCATATTTTCTTTTTCTTCTTTTATTGGTCCAACCTCTCTGCACTGTTTCTTTGACATCTTACAAGCTGTAACTCAGTTGTCCACGAAATGGAATCCAGAGAGCATGCAATAATCATTCTGTGAGAGAATAGAATATAAGAGGAATAGTTATTTTATAGTTTGATTCATAAAATGGAATAGAGACGGAATATTATTAGGATATTTGGTCAGTGAAAAGCATGTAAAAGAGTATGTAAGTTTCATCGCTGAATACCATCAATGATGCAGAGCAATTACCATTTTCATTCTCTCATGTCACAGTGAACTTCTGGAATATTTGCAGATACCACGCTACCAATGAACTAATGCTGATGGTGTCCTCTGTCAGTATCTTAACAAGATTTTATGTCTCCATGATAAGTGCTCTATTCGGCTTGGTCGTTACAAACTTCATTTTTATCATATGAGGTATGTTACGAAAAAGAAAGATGCTAACCAGGAAAATGCTGGAACATTCAGCTGTGTTTTTCTGCTTTTTTACAGTATAATCTACCCATCCCACATGGTTGAAGATGATCCCAGAAATATCTTCTAGTTTCTATATGTGAAGTCTTCTTATATCTTACTGTATTTGACTCAAATAAATATAATGATTTTGATCAATTTAGGAAATATATTTACATATTAATTTATAATTGAATCCTAGTTGTTTTAGTCCAATTTCTTTGAACAATTTTGGTGATTTTTTACACCTCGCATTACTCATTCTTGTGTTTTCTCCTGCCTGAAGCATTCTATTCACCATCCATCTTCAAAGTATGATGATTCCAAAACTTCCATGTGCCTTACCATCCATCTAGAGTATATGTCTACATATTCCTGTTCATTTTCTTATCTGCAGCAGAGCAAGAAATTCAATTTACCTGACAGGACTGGTTAAACTATTCATGTGGACCTTAATGATCTTTGACAATACTTGATCCAAAACGATGTCTTGATGCCCCTTCATGTGAATTGTCACACAAATCACCCTTTTCCCTCAGGTTTTCCGCTTTTCACTTTTCTGAGTGATTGCTCCGAGAATTATTGTTGTCTTGGACTCTTTTGTCACCATTAGACTACTTTTCCTATGGCAAACTTGTGGGAGAGTACAGCAAAACTGAACATCCATTTTGCACAAATTATAATCTCAGAATTAGGCAGCGTTTACTGCAGACTGCAGTTAACTTTTTTATTTGTCTCCATTAAATTTAGCACTACTGATCTAAATCTCCCGAAGACAGCAGTCAGTCATCCTCTAAGGTCCAGAAACAGGCTTGTATGTCTCAAGGACGACTTGTATACTTGCTTAACAGATTAAACAAAATGCACCAGAGATCATTGGTGTCCACATACGTATGCTTTTCCCATTGGAGATCTTTATGTAGGTGACTTCGGATACTGTAATGTTGGGAAAAGGGCACTCCATTTACTTGGAAAGGATCATGATCCTTTGTTCGGACAAGACACATTGATGTAAGCAGCCTTCTAATCACCTTTAGAACAACACTTTTCATTGCACTGATCTGTGTTTCGTTTCTTTTTCTTTAAATACAGAACTCACTGGCGTCAATATTCTCTATTGCCTGCTACCATACAACTTTCTTGCATTCACTTCTGTTTCCTCAGTCGGAACTATCATATTATGACAAATTGCACATATACAACAGATGCAGGGGAAGAAAGTGATGAATATGGCAAAAAGATCATAACCCAATGCTTTTTCTGGTCAGAAAAAGGAGGGCAAGAGATTCATGGCTATGCTCGAAGTGAAGGCCGTTAGGGGACGCCAGGGGTTGTGGTTGCATTTATTGTCCACCTCAGTCTACATTTGTACTGTGTGGTGGAGCTTTTCTCCCCGTATTAAGATTGATGTTTAGATTTATTTAATGTCATATTAAATCATTTGATTTAATGAAATTAATCACTCCAAGAACTCAATGAAGCACAAATACGATGTTTAAAAATAGAGGCCTTGGAGCATTATTATATTCAAGTAATTTGCCTTGTTGCTGCAGCTGCAGGATCCAAATATTGGGTTATTGAAAGTTGAATATGCTAACATAGAAAGGTATCAATCTGATATAAGTCAAATAAATAGAAGGAACTTGGCTTTGCGTCCTTGTGATAAAAAAAGAAACAAGCTCCAACCCCAAGACGACAAAGATGGGAGAGGGACAGCCTTGACTTGTGGGGCTGCAAAAGCACTTGGCATGATGCCTGGCGTACATGGTTCACAGCTTTCACAGCAGACGAATCAACACTATCATAATTCAATTTTAGTGAACAAGGCATGCACAGTGCATGTCCAAGACTCTATTTATTCAGCTATATCCCCCATTGATTATTCAACACCTCTAATTTCTCTTCTCTAAAGATTATATCCTTGTCATTAGCGGGAAAAAGTAGTGCGGGACACATTACAAACTGCTAGGATTTCCCGTAATACTATGTGATAAACCATATCCCTTTGCAAACTGCCAAGAGAAAAGAAAAGTGACAGACCTGTCATAAATGGTAGTGGAGGTTGTTGAAGTATTGTGTTTCGTTTCTGGGAGGAGCTGCACTGGTATGGCAATGGAGGTTCGCGGGAAATTCAAGTTTGTCGAAGGAAAAGAAGAGCACATGACTTGCATGTGCCTCATTTAAAAGATATGTCGTTTAGCTTATTACTAGTGTCGTTTTATAACTTCTGTTTGCTCCTTTTTTATAACTTGGCAAAACTGTACCGTTTCATTGGACTTTTTTTCACTTCAGTTTGTGAGCTGTCGGAAAGGAATACTTTGCAATCTCCAATGCCAAACGTTCCTCCGCTGTTTGCTGTTAGCTGGTTTTCTTGTTTGTCTCACCTCCCTCAACCGTGTATATATGAGAGGTTTATGTTTTGATGAAACGAGGAGGCTTTGTGTCGTTTTGCTTAACAACTAATTTTCTCTCACTTCTCTCCCGATTCCTTTTCTTTCACTGTTCATGTTCATCATTTTTACCCAGAAAATCATCGTTTATCAACAAAGGTCATTGTAACTTTGTATGGTTAACGATGATTGTTGCGTTGCCTATATAAATAGAGCTTGGCTACTTGTCTTCTTTGACAGCTTATAGTTGTTCCTTGAGCATAGCAGAGAGGAGGCTTCTGGGCTTGCCACCTCTCTTTCTAATTTACTTCATCTGTTCAAACTCTTCTAAAATCATGGTTCGTTTCTTTAGCTTCTCAGCTGCTTCCACTTTACTTTATTTGTGTCAAGTGAAAATGGAATGAAATCGCGGTTTATAGCATGAAATATCACTCTTCGTATGAAGATATTGTTGACCTTCAGTTTTACTTACAGGCAGAGAAGATGAGTTTTACTGTTGCCGATGCAGTGGACTACAAGGGATTCCCTGCTGACAAGTCTAGAACTGGTGGCTGGGTACCTGCTGCTCTCAGCTTAGGTAGAACAAGAATGCAGATCTTTCTTCTCCTTTGTAACCAACCATATGCTGCTGTTTGAGTCATGCGTCCCACCAAGTCATTAAATGAAATATTGAACAAAACCCCATCCTGCAGTTGCGCTGTGATTTATCTGTTAGAGCTCTTCCAGGCCTGCAGATAGTACTTCGGACTTTTATGACATGGCTTAGATTGAATAACTTAGACCACTAAGTTCCAAAGCTCAAGAAATTCATTTACGTAAATGCATATTCATATTGACTACTATTTACAATAGTTTTGAAACTCTCATAAAAAGTATTGAACCTTTCTCTAGGGGGCCAGAATACTCAACCTCAAATCGCAGCTTGTGCTACATATTCAGTTAATTTTCTTAGATATTCAAAACTTTCAGACAAAAAAAATCCAATCTGCCAGCAGAACCTGTCTCAGATATTCATTTGCGAGCTCAAAACTCATCGCTCATCTTCATATTGACTATAAGTACGGTCTCAAACTACTAGTAAACAGACAAGAAATCAAGCTTATCTTTAACATGATTTGCTAGCTGTTAATAAAGCCTGTCCTAGTTTTGTTGATAACGTTTGTCTTTTTGTTTCTTTTCTTTTTCTGTTGTTTCTTCTAATGGCAAGTACTAGTTTGGATAAATGGCACTTTGTTTGAGGCAAACTTCTTTTGGTCCAGTTCTGCTTTGTGTGGGTGGGTGGGAAAAGAGAAAAAGAGCAGCACGTCGGTCATGAACTGCTAGGTTCATTTATTGCAACACAGTATTTGATTACTTAGATCTTAATGTTTCTTATCTTGGTGGAGGCCTAACATTTGCATCAAGGAGTTTTACATGATGAGTGTTGATTCCAAATGGATTAGAGTAGATTCAGGTTACTTGTTTACTCCAGGATTTCTCTTGTAAATAAGTGGGAGACGTAAATCATTTAGAATCTGAGAATTTTCTGAACAACGCCAGTAGCAGCAAGAACAGTAGTTGAAGATACAATGCAAAACATTCATATTCATGCAATTAACACACACCAAGCATGGATCAGCGAGTAGCCTACTAGGAATTGACAAAATTGAGTTCAGTTATGATAAACCATTGAAGTTCATTTTCAGGCATTGAAATATGTGAGAGGCTCTCAACAATGGGAATAGCAGTGAACCTTGTGACATACTTGGGTGGAACTATGCACCTTCCCAGTGCTACTTCTGCCAATGTTGTAACAGACTTCATAGGTACCTCATTTCTGCTGTGTTTACTTGGTGGCTTCCTTGCTGATTCCTACTTAGGTAGATACAGAACAATCGCAATATTTGCCATGATTCAGACCATTGTAAGTACAAAAGTCACTCAATTTTCTTCTCACATAGCCATATTAAGAGTAAGGTTTTAACTGAACGTTCAAATTTTCCCATCAGTTTCTATATGCCTAATGACATGATACTGGTGATTCAGGGGACTTGCATGTTAGCAGTATCTGCAAGACTCCCAGAGCTGCGGCCACCTCCTTGCCAGGCTAATGAAGTCACTCAATGCAAACAGGCTAATAACTTTCAAATGGGAATTCTGTATCTTTCCCTGTATCTAATAGCATTAGGGACAGGTGGCTTAAAATCCAGTGTCTCGGGATTTGGAACGGACCAGTTTGATGCGAAAGATGAAAAGGAGAAGGCCCAGATGGCTTACTTTTTCAACAGGTTTTTCTTTGTTATTAGCATAGGGACATTATTGGCTGTCACAGTTCTTGTTTACATCCAAGATGAAGTAGGTCGAAGCTGGGGTTATGGAATTTGCTCTGCTTCAATGTTCGTTGCAATCCTAATATTCTTATCGGGAACTGAAAGATACAGATACAAGAAATGCGTGGGAAGCCCCGTAGTCCATATTTGCCAAGTTTTTGCTGCTGCCATTGGGAAGAAGAATGTCAAAGTGCCATCTGACATTGCGTTATTGCATGAAGATCTCCCCGAGGCTTTACAAAGCCATCACACAGATCAGTTCCGGTGAGCTATCTACCTCTAAATATGGAGACACAGGAAGAACACAATTGTCTCATCTCAGTCCATAACTGCTACCTTGTGTTCTTTTTATTCTTAGTTTCCTGGACAAGGCCTCTGTTGTGACAGAAGATGATTATGGAGACGACGGTTCCTTCACTGTGAACCCTTGGAAGCTTTGTCCAGTTACAAGGGTAGAGGAAGTGAAGAAGATGATCAGGCTGCTTCCAATATGGGCAACAACAATTATGTTTTGGACAACATATGCGCAGATGGTCACTTTCTCAGTGGAACAAGCAACCACCATGGAGAGAACAATAGGACATTTCCAAATTCCAGCTGGTTCACTTACCGTCTTCTTCGTGGGAGCCATATTGATCACTTTAGCTGTATATGATCGTTTGGTTATGCCACTTTGGAAAAAATGGAAAGGAAAACCAGGTAAGAGATATAGCTTTTTGGAACTTTTGATCTTTTCGGTAATGTATCTTGTCATGGTCATATTTTGAACAAAATAGCATTGAATTATTCACACGAGTGAGGTGAAACATGATATCCACCAGCATGATTTAAGATTTTCAAGTAATGGTTTGATCAATATCTTCCTCAGGATTCACCAATCTGCAAAGGATAGCCATAGGCCTCTTTCTATCTGCAATGGGAATGGCAGCTGCAGCAGTAGCAGAGGTGAAACGGTTGTCAGTGGCAAAACAATCCAGTGAAACTACCACCCTACCAATAACCGTTTTCCTTCTGATTCCCCAATTCTTCTTGGTGGGTTCAGGAGAAGCATTTATATACACTGGTCAGCTGGACTTCTTCATCACTCAATCCCCAAAAGGAATGAAAACCATGAGCACTGGCCTCTTCCTGACAACTCTTGCACTTGGCTTCTTTTTAAGTAGCTTGCTAGTTTACATTGTGAAGAACGTGACTGGAAGCAGCGGTAAACAAGGATGGGTGGGAGAGAACATAAACGAAGGAAGACTCGATTGCTTCTATGGACTTCTAGCTGCATTAAGCATCATCAACTTCGCATTATTCCTTGTTTGTGCAGCATGGTGCAGGGTGAAAACAGTTAAACGTGATCCTGAAGTGGAGATCATAGACAAAGAATCCACAATCGAAGAGAAATGCTAGTGTTTTCGATGCTGGAAAACCATGATGCTTGCCTTCTTTAATCACCAAAGTATACACAAAGTAATCCGTAGTTAGCTAATTTTCTCCATTAGAATGGAGGGTTGAAGTTCTTGTATGCAGCATGGTTTCCAGAATTATTAATGCATGCAGCTATTTTCCTCGGAATCAAAGATTTCAAACCAAAAATTAAAGTCATTAGGCCCAAAAGCCGGCCTAAAATCAGCCTACTAAGTACTCGGAAAGTGAATGCTGACCCAAATTTTAGGGTGTGAAGTTAAGGTAATCGCAGTTAAAGGAAATTAAAAGGCTAGAAATGCTGCCCACAAATTTATTGGGCCATCACCTAAATTTGCTCAAGACATAGTTATGGCAATGGGAAAAGAAAGGCGACAGGGTCCCCCATTCCAGCGCTGTCCTCAAAACAGAAAAATAGATTGATGGCGACGACAAAAAGGATCCTGTTTGAAGCATGAGATTCTGCACTTTCAAACCCCTGCGCATCAACTGGTAGATATGTGAGCATGAGTTTGTTAAAGTGCTTAAATAGTTAGTAGGTCACTGAACCAACCCACCAACTCAAATGCTGATTTTGGCAAACGATCTACCTACCCTCTCTCTGGCCATTTGAGCTAAAATTCAGAGACTTGTTACCCCCAATTTATCGGAGGGTGCAGAACAGATATTTCTCGAATCGCGAGTGCCATTACATAAGGGACATAAGTTTCAGATTGGACCAAACCAGAGTGACTACAATCCATGTTCGAAATTACACGCAACAGAAATCTCTTAGCGGGAAAAGAATCCAAGCAACCGATGCAAACAAATACAAGGAGTTCCTTGGAGTCTTCTTCCTTTTAAGTGGAAAACGAACCAGCTGAAGGACACTTTTCTTTGATTTGGAGTATGAACACGAAGCATAACTAGTTTCTGCAATGGGTAAAATCGTTGTCATTTACCAACAACAAAGTTTATGCGGCACCAGCTCAAATGTCTTTTCCCTTTCTCCCTGAGTTAGTGGTAATGATAAGTGCACCACCAAGTCCATATCACAAGCAGGAACTGGTAGAAAAGAACTGGTTTGGCAAAAAATATGATCTAAGATGCCCACTCGAACTACCCAACCCCATCTCATCTAAAGAAATAAGGTCCATTGCCAAACATCAGCGAAGGAGGGGAAACTTTTTTAGTATCTAATGTCCCTTTTGACTTTTCTGAATCTGAGACTCGTTTCCTCAAGGACAAGGCCAAGCATTTCTAATGTGAGTGCGCAAGCTTTATTGAGGCAAACAGATAAAACAGGAAAAAAGCCTTGGACTGAAAATTACAAAGGCAACCTGGAAAGCTACCAGAGGGAGAAAATATTTATAACAGGAGTAAAGCACTCTTCCCAGTATGCCAGATCTCATCAATCTGAACATAAACCCTATAAGTCCTGAAAAACCCGAAATCCAAATACTATCTGCTCAAAAAAATTCAACCCAATAGGTTTCAACCTTCAGCTGATTTTGGAAAAGATAATAAAGAGAGAGGAAGGGTGAAGAAGCACCAATTACAAGAGAAATAAGATGATTGCTCCCCCTCTTAGCTTTCAGAACTGAAGGTTGAAGAGATAAAAGAGTTAAAATTTCAGACAACTAAAAGCCTTGGCATAATTTATTATTATGGTAACATAGACCATTTGGAGGGGATTCACTGATATGAGAGGAGTTAAAAAGCATTGAATGGAAACAGCCAGACCAAGAAGAACCAGCAGTATGCACAGAACACACCTGGCTTTGGTTTCCAGTATCATCCACTGGTTTAGAGGAAACAGAAAACCAGGAAGTTCACAATAGCATCAAAAATTCCAATATCCCACAAAATTATGTTAGATTTTTCATTCCTCGACATTTGAAACTGTAAACTCATGTCTTCAGTGAACAACCTAAATCAAATTCTCCACACAAAGATCAAATTCTAGGAAGGAGCCAACCATCCCAATGGGATACAAATAACAAACCGGTCCAAAAGTAGATGCGGCTTGAGTGTTAAAACTAAATCATTTACAATCATCTTCTGTTTAGTCCAAAATAGTTTATGATAACCACATCAACAAAGCTGTTGACCAGGCCTTTTTTTTTTTCCTTGCCACAAGAGGCCAGAGGGAGTATGTCATGTCAACTTGGGCTAGCATGTAGGAACCATTACGCAAGCTCCCATCAGACACTAGAAACCCACAACCAATTGTGAAATAAACAATATCAACCAAACTTCTTTCGAACCTTAAAAGGTCAAATTATATCATACTATCAAGACAATGGTAAATAAGAAAACAGCACATAATAGAACTGATATGCATAAAACAGAGAGTATTCTAATGTCATTGACAAAACTTTCTCCTACTCCCTCATTTATGCTTCGGAATCATTAGATCAGTCATAACTCACTCAAGAATCCTCTTCTGGCTACTAAAGTTCAAACTAGCAAAAGGACAAAGAGAGTCCACAATGAGACCCTAAGCATCATACAGCTGCAAGATGATCATGCCAAAATCACATTGCCATAAGCACAATGAAGAAACTGGATAAGAAGAAAGAAACATATATGAATAAATAAGTATTAAAACTCCATCAATGGAAGGAGTACCTACAGGAACATTAATCAACGTCCAAAATGAAGAAGAAAAATAATATAATAAAAAACAACAAACAAAATACAGGGCATTTGAGATTCTTCTTCCTCTACTAACATACACGGATTGGCACAATAAGAAACAGATTTGGATCCCAAACCCCTAATATTACTAAGAAATGGCCATAATAACTAGAATATGGAATAGAGACCTAAAAACAACATACCAAAACCCAAATGCAGCCCAAAGAGCAAAAGAAATCTGATCACCGCATTGCCTTTTGCCCTTAAATCCAAACCTTTTCATCATCATCCAAACCTCTTTCCCTTTAGCCCTTATTTCCAATCTCTCTTTCCATATTTGACATCCTAAAACCAACCTCCAATCTGATCTAATTCTGGGATTCACTCTTCTTGCCAGTTCCCTCACCTTCCCTCTCCTCCAACAACCTCCCAGCTTCCTCATCAGCCTGTGCAGTCTTCTTCTGCGCTTCTTTCGCCTTCAAAGCCTGTAACTTGGAATGATTATAGTAAGCAACACCCAAAAACGCCAGTCCATATCCAAACAAGTTGATTGGTGTCACGGTATCCTTAATAACAGACCAAGAGAAGGCAATCAACAACCAATCCTTGACAACCCCAGCTACATTCATGGTCAAAGCAGAAGTCTTTCCAACAAGTAAGAACACAGCTAGATTCAGAGCAAAGGCACAGAAAGAATTGGTCCCGAAAATGACGAAATCGAAATGGAAACTCGATGTCTCTTTCAAAATTGGGAACTCAACAAAAATCCATGGCACCAACAAGAAAACCAAACAGCATGGCGCAACATAATACAAAGAAGTAATCGGATTCAAGGTAATCCCTTTAGAAGTAAGCAAGATTTGGATCATAACCAACCTGGTAGCCTCAAAAGCCACGGCTCCCAACTGCAAGATCACACCCCAGGAATCAAATCTAGCTTCCCCGTAAGCGGCAATGGCAACCCCCAAAGAGATCGACAACATGTTGAACATTGTATCACTCTTAAAGCTATCTTTTTTAAAAAGAACCCCAATGGAATAAACAGCTACGGGCATGAGGGCTTTAAGCATCTGAATAAAAGAAACAGACAAGTAAATGTAAGCCGAATTGGAAAGCCAGAGACTGAGAGAGTAAAGAGCACCGATGGGGACAACGGAAGAGAGATAAAGCTCTCGAGACATGGAAACAGGCTCGACAACTTTGAAGACTTTGATGAGGAGGAAAGCCAGAGTGGCGCAAAAGGACATGTGGATCATGGTCAGAGAGATCGGGAAAGGCCAATTGTACATCTTCTTGTCGAGGATGTACTTGTTGTAGACGATAACGGTGAAGCTGAGGAAGATCCAGATTGCCACATAGGTGTAAGAGAGAAGGATCTTCTTGATGACGCTGTCGCTCAAAGACCCGCCCTTGCCCATTGTTTCTTAGGGTTTTTGGGAGATACCCAGATAGAGAAATATGGAGATCGTGGTGGTGGCGGTGGTGGTGGAGGAGAAGGGGAGGGGATGGGGAAGAAGGGGTCAGAGATGATTGTGCGGGAGGAGTTGGTGTTGTGGTGACTTCGTAGGTGAAAGATATTGGTCCTTAATGTAGGGAAATATGGAACGGGCCTGTTCTTGGGCCTCCTTTCCCTATGCTTTCTTCACTTCTTATAAGGACTTCTTTGAACTAAATCAGTTATTGGGTGGAAATTTCCATAAAAAGAAATAGTGTTAGGATTGCAAATTAATATCCGTACAATACCTGATTGGCTCATTAAAAGTTTTGACTCTATCCAATTCAATCTTCCATTTTAGCTTGCATATACCATTTTTAATTCATAATTATCAAAACTTTATCTCCATTGTTAAAATGGATTATCCAAAACTTTGTAAAATTTAAAAATAAAAAAAAAGGGTTTCGATATTAATTTTTAATATATTAAAATTCATCAAATAATTATCAAATTGTCACTCATTTAATCAATTACATTTGAATCGTATTTAAAAATAAAGATTTAATGTCACATTTTTTTTTTTGGTATGAATCTAACTTTAATAAGGCAATACAAAGAAATTTCACATGCACCAAGTCTTTGATTAAAACTTTTTATTTGTTTATTTATTTTATTTTATTTTTTGGGGTTAGTAAATGGAAGTGAAGGTGCAGGAAACGAGCCCGTGGGTTGGATATAGCAACACCCGCGCGTCCAGTGAGATTCGTCACGTGGGGCTGCATGTGCTTACGCTGCGCCTTGTTTGACTGTCTTGGCCACGTGACTTACGCGTGTCTCATCACATATCGCTTTGCTTTTGGCGTACTCTCCGCAACAGAACACACATCTTATTTTTATCTTCCATATATACCCCTCCTTTTTTTTCTCACTTGTCTTCGGTTGGGTTGGGTCCACACAATTTTTTACTTTTTTAACAAGAAAGAATTAAACGAATTTGAGTTTAAACATGATAATAATTTGTATCTTAAACGGGCAAATCCGTTATTTTAAACGGTTAAGTTCATTTATATTATCATATTATGTATAAATATCCTAAATATTTAAATTTGTTGTTTGAAATAGTTAAATTTATTTAATTTGTATACAATATGTTTAACTTATTTATATTATCATCTTATCATATAAATATCTTAAACAGTAAAATTTATTATTTTAAATGATTGAATTTGTTTAATATGTATATAACACGTTTAACTAATTTATATTATTATATTATCGTACAAATATCTTAAACGATTAAATTTGTTATTTTAAACAATTAAATTTGTTTAACCTTTATATAACATGTCTAGCTCATTTATATTATCGAATTATTATATCAATCAAGTTTAAATAAATTTATTATGTCCTATAAAGTTCAATTTGATTTATTTAATTAACATATCAATAAAATCGTGTATACCCTACCTAATTATGACAAGATCAAACACAATTACACAAATGGTCAAGTCTTCATTAATTTACTCAATTTTCTAATTTTAAGATGAAATTTTCGATATTTCTAAATTTCTACATAAGAAATAAGTTTTGTTTTTCTTATGCAATACTAAATGTTAAATACTATGTGATAATGATAATACTAATATCTTAATCATAAAATTGTTCACGTTTTTCTTCTCCTTTTTTTTCTTTATTATTCTTTTCTTTTCCCTAACTATTAATGATTGGAGTGTGGATGCAAAAATGGTGCCCGAACCAATCACCAAAGAGCAGATGAGTAGGGTGAAAGCTTTCGACTTTATATATATATAAAAGACTTTCATTGAGTAAAGAAGGGGATATGCAAGAGGAACTTTGCTCATTGTTTTCGAGAAAAATCATGTTCACAGACTTGATTTTTAAGAATAAATATCGAATTTCCACATAAAAGGGTTAAAACCCAATAATAATAATAATAATAATAATAAATTAATCCAAAAGTACATAGAATTTGCAGTCAAGATTAAGAGTAATAAGTGACAAGTTACATAATGAGAAAATTCATTCTATTGGGTTATAGCATTAGAAGTCAATGCAACTATTACTTTTATTTGATTAATGAAATGGGAATTATTCCATGAGTTGCATAATTGAGCTTGGAATATGCTGTCGCATTTTCTTGGAATATTATGCAATACAAAGCTTTTCTATTTTTTGCCTTTAAATTTTTTATTAAAAAGCATTTTTTGGGTGACAAGATTGATTCTTTATCTTAAAGTAATGAGGAAAAAAATGGGTAATCATTTTGGCTTGTTGAGAAAAAATATATATAAATATGACAGGATAATGGTTGGCATGTAAAAGAGTCCAATAATACCTAACCCTTTTTTTTATTATTATTTGGGAATTGCATTCATGAACTCTCCACCTTGAGTCCATTTTCTATGTAGATTTAGTCAATAAATTTTTTGGGCCATCTTTTAGTTTATATTTCACTTTCAATTTGACTTATTCTATACATATTTTTCAAGAAAGCAAAGTTTTAGTTGGACTATTTTTTGTTCATTGACCACTTCTCTATTATTGTTTATTAAATTAAAAATTTTTTTTTTCTTGTTCAAAGAATGAAAATTCAAAATCAACATCATGTCGTTAAATTTATAAATAAAAATTAAATAAATAAAAATTACGTACTCGAATATATAAAAATGCACCTTTATCATCTTTATTACTCATTAAATGAAACCATATTTTGTTTCACAATTTTGTCGACAATATGTTCATATTTACGTCCAAATACCCAAAAATATATATATAGAAATCAAATGAAACTAAGACCCTAAATAAAAAGAATCATGTGGAAAAACTCATAGTTGATCATCACCTCGTCATGCCAAGTTTGTGAAACGCGGTTTCTCCCATTATTAAATTAGAGAATAATATGAAGAAGAGAGAAGAGAGCCAAGTGTATGCTAACCATGGCTCTCTTGATGATAACATAATATATGATTAATCAATAATTAATTAATCATAAGCATAATAGTTATGAATTAGTACCACTATATATTATATGCATGTTCCATGAGACATGGTCAGTGCATGATATCTTTTATTGCAAATTGATTGCCAATATACTGATTTTTATATATTTAAGTTGGTAAGGGAATTAGGGTTAAGCAGAAATTAATCAATGATCATAATTAGAGATTAAATGATTATTTAAACTTAGTTGCTTGTCTTTTATCTAAAAGTCTCTACATCATCTTCATTATTTAGCTGTTAAGTACAATTAATAAATAAATATAATTAACCCACTTTCATTTTATGTCTTTAACTAATGAAAGTATAGGTTATAGGCTACTTGAAAAAGGAATTGTATCTCTCGAAATAAGTTAAAAGGGTTTATATTTGATGCACTGTGAATCTATATTTGTTATCGGTTTAAGATTTGTTAATTTTAGGTAAGAAGTCAACATTTTCAAAAGCAGATCATGCACCATCTGTAATCAAAGGCCAGAAGGAACCCACCCAAGAAGATGACAATCTTCTTTGGAAGACAGGTTGCAGAAATTTCTGATTTAGTTAATACTAATGACTTTATGATTGTTCATGAAGAAATAAAAAGTTGGTAACGTGGGACCAGGAAAATTAAAGACATATGCTAAATGATTATTTTACTGTAAGATCAACTAAATCCAGACAAGGGTGTGATTGGTTTGGTTTGGTTTTCCTTCTGGTAAGATCTACACAGTATCTCATTCAATCCCATAGAACACCAAGAAACGAAAATGGTGGTTTAAGGTCAACTTGTTTTCCGAAATCTGAGATAATGGCATCCCGGATAACTAGATTCATTCATACAACAATGTCCACAACATGGTGTTGCAATGGTGAAAGCTCAACACTAATGATTGAACAGAAGCTTCACGTCTGTCACTGTCTGATCCAAAGCAAAAGCTCAAGAGCAAACAAAGCTGCGTCATTGCTGTTTTGTCCTTTACAGTTGAGGTTGTAACGTGATGGTGCTAGGTTACCCAACTTCTAACTTTCTATAAACACTTTACAGTCGACAGTAAACACCCTCCCCAAAAAAGGGTTTCTGATGTATGCCACCATTTCTTAAGTAATGAAGTTAGTAATGACTTTGATCGTACCAAACTGTAACAAAAGCTTCCCTTTCGGTTGGTTAGTTACTTTTACAGTATTCTCCTCTGCCTTTACTTACTGCCTTGTCCTTGGCCTTTGGTTGTTTGTAACGGTTGTTTCTGCAAGTCTTAAAGGGCATTCCGACAATAATTTTGGGTTTGGAGAGTTTTGAAATTTAGAGTTGCAGAGGCAAGTTGCCCAAAACTGGACGAACAGCAAACCAGAAAAGCTTGTTTGTAACCTCTTTATTGCTTCGTTTATCTTTTCCTATCTTCAAAATAAACAATAATTCTAGGCGTCCTAAGAGTTTCATTTCATTTATTTATTCCCACGTGAAACAAATTGGGCTGAGGAGCCTCATGTCAGATTTGTTATGACAAGAGATACGACATGGAAACCAGGAATTCTCTCTAGGAGTAACATAATACAGTGAATTTAACGTTTGGAATTGCTGTTCAGGAAACTTACATGCAATGAAATTTAAGGGATGCTTCAGACTTCCATGTGAGACGATATGACTATATCAGCAACCTGAATTGACAGAAACATTAAATTTTATTGAAGATTAGGTTAACACAAGCTGGAAAATTCAGTATCCTGCAGAAATTTAATTTACTTGGTTGACTATTTCTATTTCTATCCAACCTCAATTTTTGGGGTGCTTGTATATATCTAATACACTATCTATATACCATGTTGCAGTCTCGTGGCATTTTCCATTGTGATTTCTCTATTGCCCTTGTTTGCAAAGGTGAATGGTACCTCTGAATTTATTTCCTCGCCCAAAAAGGACTTCTGTTTGGTATAAAATCACTTGGCATTCCCAAAGAGTCCAGTAAAAATGAGGACTATGATGGGCCAAGGCGGCAGAGGACAGACAATTCTCCGGACTCTGTCTGACTGCACGGTTATTTCTCCCACTCCTTAGAGTTCATGAGAATGTGCGAGAGGCGAAGCACAACTTCTGACATGTCTGGACGCTGGCTCCAGTTGTCATCCACACAATCCTTGGATAATAATGCCATCTTACCAAAAGTTAAAACAAGAAGAATTAGGTTAAAGCTCTAGTGGGGACCAAATCAATAACCAAAATCAAGCATAGTTCCATGGAAACCTGAAAGTTTAAAGCGGGAATTCTACCTCAACCCTTAACTGAAGTGCATTTATAATACAGCCAAGTCTGGGGCCACACCTACCTAGCAGCCAGATGGGGAGGCTGGGGGTCCCTGGCCAGCTCAAGACCAGCATAGGATCCAGAACTAGACCCAGTGCTGTGATTAACATACCACACCAACACAAACCATGTTTACGACTTTGAAACCTTAAAACATAGTGGCAAGTCGCTGTCATTATAAGCCAAAATTCATGCTACTTCCAAAGGAGGCAACATATTGCTATCCCCACTCCAATGAATGATTTAATAATAGAAATGCAATGTAAATTGTTATTTGACATCAACAGATGCTGATGCTGATCTCAAGGAAATACAATAAATTTGTGAGAATTAATTATTTTTACTAAACAACACATGATCTTCCTTGGCACAAGAAAACGAGCTCTATTCTAAACAAAAAGGGTAATAACTAACAAGGGGAAGACCTGTAACAATGCATCAATTTTGAAGAAATTGGAGAACAAAAAATGAAATGAATGTGGTATACCTGTAAAACAGAGTCCTTGTGGTAGTGGGTAAGGTTTGGATCGATGCATTTTGCCAGTTCAATCATGGGCTTTTGGATATCAGTTAATGCTGATAACATCTGGAACACAGTGCAATTCAAAATAAGATCAATAACACTTAAGTATATCTAGGGTCAGTATGATAAAACAAACATTCACTAGCTAACAATATGCTCAGCACCAGTATCCTTTTCAGTATTTCCCTGATATGGTAACTTTTCATCCTTCAGATATAAATCAAAACTGACATGTTTCAAGCAATTATCATGCTTGCAAAGTCAAGGAAAAAGTAGTCCATATGATGCAAACTCACATAATCTACCACCGTCCGATGCTCACTGTAGTGATTATTGCCAGGGCTTGCATCTCTGCTCAGAGCTGGTTGGCCGGTTAATAATTCCATAAGGACAACTCCGAAGGCATAGACGTCAATCTTTGTTGTCACACGTCCATCTCGCACATACCTTGTGATGAATGTTTACAAGTGCAAGAATGGGACAACATAGTTAGAACATAGAATAATGGTACAAGTACCATAGAAGACTGCTAATAGATCGGCTTATACTCAATGCTTAGGAAAAAAAAACAAAAAAGAGCTTATTGTAAATAATGCAAACAACCAACATACTCAGGGGCAAGATAACCAAATGTGCCAACAATTCTTGATGCCGTAGCACCAACTTCTGGAGAATTGTCCAATAGTTTTACCAGTCCAAAATCAGCAATCTGCTTGAAAGAAACCAAATCTTAATAAGCATGAAAAGCAGAAAACTAACAAATATTATGATCTACAAATTCCTTCTCAGCATAAAAACCTTGATAATGACTTCAAAATTTGAGAAGATTCACATGTGAGAAACTGTATGAAACATATTATAACTCACCTTTGCACAAAAATTGGAATCTAAAAGAATATTGCTCGTCTTCACATCTCGATGAACATAATATGGTTTTGTGTGCTTATGTATGTACTCAAGACCATTTGCAGCATCAAGAGCAATCTGAACACGCCTAATCCAAGCAAGTGGCTTATAACCTGTGGATTCTCCGGCCTTAGTATTTTTAAGATAGCTTTTTTTATGTGCATGTGCTTGTTGAAGACAGAGAGACGAAGTATAACAAAAGGTATTTTGAATTGGCAAATAGAAGTCAGATTCAAAATCCCTAAACTGTCCCTAGCAGGTGAAAACTAGTCCAATAAACCGCAGGGTATTGCCTAATAACCCATACCTGATGGTAGGAAGTCTGAAGGAGTCACAAATTTCTTCAAAGGCATATAGTACAGGGTCATAACTTATAGCAGGGAACAAAAAGTAAAAGATAAAGAAATGCCACCAGAACTAGAGGATTTTGCTTCATCTTAGATAAGAAAATAACTAGTTTCTTCGTCCCTTGCTTGAGACTATGATTGCATGTTTCAGAATCCATACTTACAAAATTAACATAGGTTAAGTTTTGCTAATTGAAAAAAAATTGCTCAGATAATCACTGACTTGTCAGTAAATCCATACCTCTAAGGGTGGACCCATGCAGATGATCACTTAACGCACCGTTTTGGGCAAATTCATAAACAAGAAACAAAGAGTCTCCACCAGCAGCATAACCAATAAGCTCAATCTAATTGAAGTTCACACAAGAAAGGAAATAGGATTTTAGAAATAAAAGGAACAAAAGAATGCAACTAGCACATTGTTGAAACAACTCATACCAAGTTTGAATGATGAACTTTACAAAGAATATTAATCTCCGATAAAAACTCTTTTGACTTTGTGTTTTTCATCTGCTTGATGGCCACATCCTACATGCATAGAGGATGAAAAGAGATTATCCCTTAATGCACACTTCCACAGATTTTTCAAATTAAATTCTATATAAATTTGAAGGACTATTTTTATGCAATGAAGATGTACAGAACACACATGGAGATTCCTTTAGCTTACAGTTCCTTTTAATTTTCCAAGGTAAACAGATCCATAAGAACCTTGGCCAATCTTTAAAGACATACTAAAGTTAGAAGTTGCATCACAAACTTCATAATAAGGAAACACAACAGCTTTATCAGAATTGAATGAGGAAACAGTGCTTTCTCCAGATTCTGCAAAGAAATCATTCAAGAGCCAATTTAGAGGTAAGAATGCAGATACTCTCCAGCAGTTGAAACTGCAGCGATCAACTCCTGTTTACTTTAAAGAAAAGAGAAAACGAAAACGAGATATCTTAAATTTCAAGGAAACCCCTTACTTGAGAGAAAAGCGCACAAATCAAAATAAGAATGCAAGTGATCCATCTTTCTTGAATAGGGCATTGGTAGCTGAGTATCCTTCTTCTTATATCCCTTACAAGAAACAAGTATGACTGTCAATAGAATAACAGCAAAAGCAGCTGAAATGGCTCCAACCACCACATGAGTTCTAGATTTTGATGCCTTTTTGGTACTTGAATCTGCAAGGAAGAAAAAAAGAACTTCTGATAACCAGGCCCAAAATGAAAAATGCACAAGAACAATGAACAACGGAAGTGGAAAGACACTAAAGGAGAGGAATTATTCCCCAACTCAAAAGAGGCATTACAACAATACAAGAGCACCATTCCAAGATGTTAATCACTATATTCACTTCCACCAAAAATAAAATATTTGGAAATTTCAAGCATTATGTAAGTTTAGATGTCTATACACACACATAAACATTTATTAACAATCATAAAGGAAATGAGGAAAAAAAATGAAAAGGTGAATTTCTCACTGACCTTTGTTGTCATAGACGATAAGGTTTTGAAGGCCCTCTATTAGTTAATGCCCATGCAGAATAAAAGAAAGATGATTAGATGCTAAACAATTTTTAAATATTAAAGGGAACTTCAAAAACTGAAATCTTTATAAGGAGTCATAAAACTAGTTTCTATATTCTACCACACCTCCTGCTTGGCAATCATCAAAAAGTAAGGTAAACTATATGGCCATATGATGACCTGAATAAGTTTTAAACTTAAAATAACTTTCATGAGGATACCATGAGACTCCTTTAACAATACAGTAATGATATAAGGCATGCATCTACTAAGATGCTTTATGTGCCTTCGATCAGCAAAGCTCATGCCTTGATATATAATCCTGAAAAGTATTTACAACTACAATGAAAATAAAAACAATCAACCCAATTGAAAATTAATAGTGCAATCCTGCAAGTAAGGAACCAAAAAGTTTATCTTAGTCTGAATCGGTCATCAAATATTCGAAGTGAAAGTCATTTCCTTGCCTGGTTCAGGAATAAAGATCACATCTCCCTCATGAATAAGCTTTGGATTCTCAAGCCTATTCAACCAGGCAGTTTTATTTAGATCTGCATCAAATCGTGAACAGATTGTATACAGTGTATCTCCCTTAGTGACCTTGTATGTGACAGTATCTGCACCTTCAGAACAACCACATAAAATGTCCAAAGTCACAGTTTGTGATGGAACCAGTGCCTTTTCAGGCTTTGCCACAACAAATGACCCAAATTTTGATGAAATGCCATCCCATGTATCCTCAGGTTGGACTTCATACTCCAGATGCCAAGTAAACTCATCATGGCCAGCTAAGCAGCTACAATTTATTGCAATCAAGAAACCATCAATGGTTCTATTAACTGCATTTGAATTTACATGGAATAAAGCAGACATTTCTTCCAGGCTTATTGTGGTTCTTGGAACATAATATAGTGAAGCAGGACAAGATTCAGTTAATGACACATTGCAAGAGATAGGAGTCACATGAAGACTATGGCTAGTGCATGAAAGCCAAGCCAATATGATAACACCCACCAACTTCTCTAAATTCCCCAAATCCTCAAAGCGCATTTTCCAAAGTAAAGTAAAAGCTACTCTTGGATAATCGTAATAAAGCACACACTCGACTACAGAGCAGCAAATGCCAAACAAATGAAGCACAAGTTTTTCTCTAGTAATAAGTTCTGGTTTCTCATATATATATAGAGAGAACCAAAAAAGCTGACTAAAATGAAAGAAAAGAAAACTTGACTCCAACAGTGATTATCAGTAACTTCAAGAAAAACCAAACCCAAGTGAACTGAATATTTGTCTTATATAGGACCTAAAGAATGACAATTTCAAAAATCAAGTCTGTTGCTTCGTCCTTTCCCCTACATTGCTCAAGCAACCAAGCACAACTCAGTAGCTCAGCAAAAGAAGCATCTTTCTGCCAGGAAAAATCATACAAAAGTTATAAATTCTCAATGCAAATACCATCCAATTAAAAACTAGATAAATTTGCAAAGATGCAAAGCATCAAACTTTAGAAAGGTTTTGCAAACTGAAAACGGAACAATAGTATAAGAGAGAAGGGAGTGTAAACTGGTGGGGTGATCGCGGAGTCATTCAACTTGAATGTTTATGGGTAAGAAGACGACACAACAGAACAAACAAGAGACTTTCACTTCCTGGGATTTTGTTTGGATTCTTAAAAGACGCGGTTTTGACCATTGTTCTGCCATTTGGAGGTTATGCTTGGAAGTTCAAAGGGTATCAGCTGCAAGATGTAACGTTGTTACGCTACGCACCGATGCCGGCTTTGTTTCTTTGTAGTTTGGCGCAGAGAAACCAGGGGAAAGGCTGTCCTTTTAGATTTTGATTGAGCTAGTAGCTTTGCTCGTTCTTAACGACCACATGATAGCCAGCGTTTGTAGTCCAACGGTTAGGATAATTGCCTTCCAAGCAATAGACCCGGGTTCGACTCCCGGCAAACGCATAAACGTACCTTTTCTTCCGTATTGAAGGCCGAATGGTGAGAAGGATATATACACTTGAATCAACGTAAGTAAGGAGAAAAAGTAATGTTGGCACCGATTATTTCCCCTTTTTTCTATACTTTCGATTTCACTCTGGAAATTTTTGGGTACAAAAAAATGAATAGTTCTATAGAAACTTGTGCATGTATGATCAGTGATCGAATTGGAGAACTATCTCATTTGTCTGATAAGATTCTGGTGATGACTCGACTGAAAGCAACTCCAGCCCACTCTTGGACCCAATACCAGTTGTGGTGGTGGAAGCAGATGAAGAAACTGATACATAAACTGCGCTGGGGCGTGATTCTGGCAAGTCCATCAATGGTTCATCAGAGTTCAAGAAAATTTGGACAACTTTTCTAATCTTAGGACGTTGTGTAGAATCAGGGTGCAGGCAGGCAAGACCAACTGTTAATGTTCTTTTCACCTGTTCTTCATCAAATTGTCCTTCCAGACGTCGGTCCACACACTCTAGCAGTTCATTTTGTCCATATGAATTCCACACGTAATCCACTAAGCTGTTTTCTTCCATGATACCCTTTGATCTTCTTCCGCAAACGACTTCGATTACTACCATGCCGAAGCTGTAAACATCAGATTCTGGTGTTGACTTTCCGGTGAAGCCTACTTCTGGGGCCAAATATCCTGGGGTTCCTGCTAACATGGTCGTCACTGAGGCATCGTTCTGGAGCAATCTTGCTAGCCCAAAATCACCTAGATGAGCATTAAAATCCTCGTCCAACATAACATTGTTGGGTTTGACATCTCGGTGGACTACAGGGTTACCACTGTCTTCATGGAGATAAAGTAATGCTGATGCCAACCCTGTTAAAATCTTGAATCTAGTCTCCCAATCGAGCGAGCGCTTGCCAATGTAGCGGTCAAGGCTACCATTGGGCATATATTCGTAGACTAAGAGGAGATGTTCACCTTCGTGGCACCACCCTTGAAGTTGCACTATGTTTTTGTGCCTTAGGCGCCCAATGGTACAGATTTCTGCAAAGTACTCCTTTTCTCCTGTTTGAGTAAAGCAAGGAAAGCTGTTTAAGCATGTTAAGAGGAGATGAAAACTTTGCAATGATTAGTTTGTAAAATGCATCCTGAATTTGGAATATATTTGACCACCAATGAAAGAAGAAAAGAAACTAGGAAAACTAAAAGGCGAATGGGTTGAAACTAGTTGAATATTTTATGATTCTGAATTATCCTTGCCAAGCAATGCATTGAAAGTAAGAGCAGACCTTGTTTCGAGGTTGCTGAAATCTTTTTGACAGCTACAGTTGTAGGGGGATTCTGTAAGGTGCCTTTGTAAACACTTCCAAACCCACCAGTACCCAACAGATTCTCCTTGCTGAAGTTATGAGTAGCCTTGGCAAGCAGCTTGCGGGTAAACATTTTAGGTACGTTTGCTGCAGTCCTTGATCGAATTTCTATATCTACTTTCTTCTTGACTGTCTCCTTTTTCGTCCTTAGAACCTTTTGAAATGATGGAAGAAAGCATATTGCCACAATCACCAATCCCATGATGATAGGAATAACAATCAGCAAAACATTTTTAATCTTTTCGTCTTTGGAGACATGACTGTTGAGATATGGCAATGGAATTGTTGTGAAAGTCCAATCAAGGACCTGATGGCTCTCTGGGACTTTGCCAGTTGCGGCTGTGAAGCCGATGAAGACAGAGCTTGGAACCACGTCTGCCATCTCAATAGATTGGTTAAGTACGCTCACTAGCTTGTCCCCAGAGTATGCTATAGATACTTCGAGCCTCTTTTTCCATCCGTGGTAATCGATTTTGACCTTAATTTCTCTTCCACTTTTAAGGTCAATGCCAGTACTGTTAAGACTTTTAGCTGCAACTGGTGTAATTATGCTTATTGTATCAATGCCAATATGGTTTTCATCTGGATCCCATTCATTCTTGTAAGTATCCAGCTCCACAGCTAACTGCCGCACTATGCCACCTGCATTTTTGGCACCATGGGAGAAAAATTCATGAGATGTTCTGATCGAAAATTACAGCAAAACATACAAAGGAAAGATTTGTTAACTTTTTAGAAGAGTTTTTGCCTACCTTGAGTTGATGGATCCATGATGCCAAGATATGATCCGACGCTAGAAGGTGGAGAACTACTGTTATCTTGTGCAATAACGAAAGCCATTCCATCTCCAGAGACATTATAATTTGGGAAGGGAGAAATCCTGACGGTGAAGGTGGTAGAGATGGAGGCTGGCCAGGCGAGCACAGGATGGTGGAATAGAACCCGACCAACTTGCTCTAGTACAGAACCTGAGACAGATGAATTGCTCTTCGGCTCTGGTGTCAGGCTTAGGTATCCATTGCCTCCAGTCACCGAGCCCATGCAGATTAGGCTGCCATTGGTGCAACTGCTAGGATCGAAGGAGGGGAAAGAGAAAGTAAGAGGCTCAATGACAGAGGTTAAAGAAGATTGGTCTAGGAAGGTGTGGAGGAATAGCAGCATGAACATGGTTGCAAACGAGAATACAATATGAAACAAATGGCTATATTCCATTCCAATGAACATATATAGAAGGCAGAAAAGTTGACCAGGAATTGACTTTTATGTTGTTCCTAACGTTTTTGTTTTTTCATTCAGGTAAGGGAAATTATCAAAGAAGTTATTTACAATCAGGCAATCAAAATTCGTTCTTCTGTACGCACATGGAAACTGGGTCCAGCTTTGACTCATGAACAAGAAATGCAAGTGCTTGTCCTTTTAGCTTAGTTCTACTCGTAAAACTACAAATCAACAAAAGGCCATTCAAACAAGAACCAGCCACCAAAGACTTCCTTTCTATCAGAAAAAAGTATCCAGGTGAAAAAAATGAAACAAAGACAGACGGAAATACTGTGATAGTTAAAAATGTAGTCAAGGGAATTGAAACTAAAACCAAGACTAAAAAATGAATGGCATTCAATGGAGGCAAATATTGCAGGATATAATCAAAGTGTCAATGGGTCGAGAGACGTATGGTAAGGACAAAATATAGCAGGAAGATCTGTACTTTGATTGATACTGCAACAGCTCTAAGAGTAGGAATCAAATCAACATGTATTTTTCAGGATAAAACAACATTGATTAAAATACACTAGTTTGAAGTCACATAAAGTAATACATATTTGGTCTGATATTTATGGATTGGTGCATAGATGGAAGCTGTGACTATCACTGAGGTTGTAATTTTTCCTAAGCAAATGGTTACATACATGACAGAGCTATAAATTCTGACATCAGGCTTTCTTCGGATGATCTACTCCCTACGTTCATACTTCCGGGCCCATATGTGTTTACCATTGATGCGGAACTTAGCTATGCGTCTGCCATTCAAAATTTGATCAACGTTTGTGACAGAATGTAGAACCATTCTAGCAAACAAAGGTTGTTCATTACAGGGGACATTTTCCTGCATATGTACACTATCGACACAGTCACCACATATTTTTGTGAAGAGTTCCCTTACTTCATCTTCTGACACAGGGAAACCCCGTGAGAAGGTCAGAAACAAGGTCCTGTCATCCTCCGAAACATTGTTAGATGGGTGCCATCCCCATAAACCTCCGACAAGAAAGCCATGGTCCATGGCTCTTGGCACTATGGTGACCCTGCCAAATAATGAGTGAGGAAAACCAGGGATGACAAGAGGCTGATTAGAGATCACCTGTGACGTGCTCCCCATCACACGTTGCAAGATGTCAGTAAAAATTCGAGAACAAACAGTGTTTAGAAAGTTTTTTATCCCACTGATGGTACTAAATTTGTTTTGATGGAACATTTGAAATGAAATATCTTTCTCCATAATTCTTGCAGTAAGAGGAAAAACACCATTAGGTGGAATGGTAGGATTGCTGGATCCTAGACAATTCAAACATGAAACTGCTTCACAGGCTAGTGCTTCCAGCAGAGGATCCGACAGGTTCACCATTTTCGCTATTATGTTGGGATAGCCCTTCTCTTCTAGCCATAGCCATAGGGCCATCACTGATAGAGATTCAGCTGGATCCCTCATAAGAGTTATTACCAGCCGAGAGAATATCTCCCGATCGATGGCATGATAAGTGTGGAGCTCCTCCAGAGTGATTGAGGCCATAAAGACATATGATTCCGTGTGCTGTGTGTGGAAAAAGAATGGAGATCACAGAGAAAACTTGAAAAGATTTGGACATAATACCACATTATATAGTGAAAGAATTTCTGAAATATGGCAAGTTGGGTCACACTGGTTTTACTAGCAATTGGTCCAAATGTAAGAGAGTCTTCTGCTAGTTTAGAAGATGCATCTGACCTGGACATCAATAACAATTCAGTGCTTCATTAGGAAAACTTGTTTTTCCTGTGATTGGCATATCTGCTCTACTTCAATTTCCTTGAAGTGGCTCGAGAACTAGGATGCCTTCTACTTGTGGCCTCTGCCGTTAAAATTTGGCAGTAAAACCAATGGCAAGTGGCAGCATGCATTGTTGGCACTATTACAGACTTCCCTTGTATTTTGTTCTCCACAGCATGTTCTTTGAATGTCATAAATGCTCAAAGCTGGACATATGAACCTGACATTAAATAAGAATTAATGACCTTGAGCCTCATTCTTTACAACAACATGCCCTGCATAGCCTTTCAGTGCAATAAGCATGCTCATCTTAAAACTTGTTAGACATTTATGTGGCTTAGCCAGAAAATAGTGATGAACATAGAATCCGGATTTTAATCCAAGCAATCAACAAGATTCTTATTCAGTACTCAGGCTTCTTTCAGAAGTAGCAATATGCAAGACAGAACAGAAGAGTACTTTTAACTCAAAAAATATATGAAAGGGCATTCTAATTACTTATTCATTTCAATTTCTTTGTTTTCCTTATAAATAAGACCAGGGGTTTCACGACAAGAGCAAAAAAAAA